CCCATTGCCCCTATCAAAATTAAGAACAGGCCACACTCTGCAAGTGAGGAGGAGAGCCAAGAAATGACGAACAAGTATCCAGCAGCTGAATTCCTCAACTGAGGTCGTGCTCGCTACTGGAAAACAAACGCCTCGCTTCTCCACCTCGAAGTCCGTTCCTCCGGTGTGACCTCGGTGCATCCCATCCAAGAGCCTCCCCCACCCTACCTGAAACGTGGCCCTCCTCTGGCTACACCGTGAGCCCTCTTCTCGGGTTTCATTTTCCTTCCGTTCAAATGTCCCAGGACCCGAGGCCACGGGGCCGGTGGTCCGAGGGGCCCAGGTAACCCCCGGCCGGGGGTGCGCGCGGGCTGCGCGGGCTGCGCCCACCTCCACCCCTCCTCCCTGCGGTGCACGCGGCCCCGGGGACTCGGCAGCTCTGCTGGGGTCCGGTGGGGTCAGCCGCGCCCGCGCCGCCACACCCACCAGCTGCCCGCGCCCCTGCACCCGAAGCTCCCCGCGCACCCGGACGCACGCAGGCGCAGGCTCGCACCTGAGACCCAGCGAAGGACGGGCTCCGCTACACCCCGCTGCCCGCCGCCCCCGCCGCCACCTCACCCAGCGCGATGTGGCCAGAGCTTCCGGACGCTCACGTGACCGGGCGCGCAGGGGCATGCCGGGAGCTGTAGTCCGCCAGCGCCGCTTCACCTGCCGCGGTGCAATCTTGTGGGTTGGGTTTAACCGGGCTCCTGCGGGCAGGGACGGTGGTCAGAAATGTTAGCTTAAAAGGGCAATGAGTGAAAGATATCATTGGAGAAGAACTGGTACGCTAACCAGTTTTTCTTTTCAAAAAGAGGTTTTATTCTGCTTTAGATTTTTGTTTAATTAAATGCAGTTGTCCTTATACGTCGGAACATACACCTGTCAGTATTCGCAGCTCTACAGCCTATCACCACCCCACCAAAATAAATCATGCATTGGAAGAGTCCCAGCAGCAGGGCTGGAGAGAAGCTCAGAGGTTAAGAGCACTGGCTGCTCTTCTAAAGGTCCTGAGTCCAATTCCCAGCACCTACATGGTGTCTCGCAGCCACTAACTCCAGTTCTAGAGGTCTCAATGGCCTCTTCTGCCTTCCGTGGGCACTGCACACACATGGTATATACTCACACATAGATAAACATATACATAAAAACGGAACACATAGATAAACATATACATAAAAACGGAAAGGAGAGGAGGAAGAGAAGGAAAAGAACAAGGCGAAAGATTCTATTGCCACCACCAAATCTTTTGCAGGGTTGTTCAAGACCAGGTAGTAAGAACACTTCCTGAGTAGGGTGGTGATGGTGCACGCCTTTAATCCCAGGATTCTGGAAGCGGAGACAGCCAGGAAGATCTCTGTGAGTTCCAGACCACCTGGGTCTGCAGAATGAGTTCAGGATAGCCTCCAAAGCTACACAAAAAACTCTCTCTCTCTCTCTCTCTCTTAAAAATGCTTCCTTATACTTTGCACACTCAGAGCAGGAATCTAAAATCATGATAAACACGAAACTAAGCATGCTTCAGAAACTCCTCCTTGTGTTTAGTTCATGTGGGTCTGGAAGGAACACGGTCACGTCAGGATGATTTTTACCCTTTGCGGCCACAGGGGAGTCAGTCAGCTCCTATCCAACTGACTGACAGTAGCTTTGCAAACGTTTTTTTTTGTTTTGTTGTGTTTTATTGTTAAGCAATTTGTACCTTAAAATGTCAATTTCCGCATACCAAAACCTGTTATCTGAAGCTCTCCAAAGAGACAAAAGCCAAAGCAATTCCCAGGCATGGGACATCTCAGTTTTCTGAGTCCTCCCACAATCAAGTTCTTCTTAGGCTTTGAACCTTTAGGAAACTCTCAGGTAATATTCACATACTCCAAACAGAGGACTGGACACAAAAGGCAGATCCAGGCCCAGGTATTAACACTGCAGGAATCAAACCAGCCACAAAGCTCTGCGGGAACTCCCACCACAGTATCGCTTACTGGGGCACTCCTAGACCTGGTTCATTTCAGTTAGTCTTCTGGCATTGGTGAAGTTGGCCAAGCTTCTCTTGACGTGCACACCAAGTTTTACCCAAACCTTACCAAAGGCCTGAAGACTTTTGGATTAGGAAGGCTGAAGCCACAGCAACCAACAGAGGAGAGGCTGAAGCGATGAGCTACACACAGCAGGAAGCCTCAGGGCCACCCAGACCCCAGCAGAGAGGGGCATCAGGATGCTTTTATAGCTCAGGGTGCACAGGAGAAAGACCATGAGGGGATGGAGAGCTGGTTGGTCTTTCAGAGGACCTGGGTTCAATCCCCAGCACCGACATGGTGCATCACAACTGTGTATAAACTGTCCTCTTCTGACCTCCTCTAGCACCAGGCATGCATGTGGTGTACAGACATATGTGCAAGCAAAACACCTTACACAGTAAAATAAGATAAGATAAAAAAGGAGGGAGACTCGGGTAAGGGAAGGAACATACCCATCCAGGTTGCCAACGGAAGTGCCTCAGTTTACAAACAGGTTTGGGCAAAAAGCAAAACCTGGTGAGTGGATTTTCAAATCGTATGCATTTCGGATTTAAAAACGAAGTGGAAGGGGAGATGGTGAGATGCTGGGGAGATGATGATGAGATGCTGGGGAGATGGCGAGATGCTGGGGAGATGGCAAGATGCTGGGGAGATGGTGAGATGCTGGGGAGATGATGATGAGATGCTGGGGAGATGGTGAGATGCTGGGGAGATGGCGAGATGCTGGGGAGATGGTGAGATGCTGGGAGATGGGGAGATGCGGGGAGATGGTCCAATGGTTAAGAGCAGTTTCTGTTCTTCTAGAGGACCTGAGTTCAGTTCCCAGCACCCATGTCAGGCAGCTCACAGCCTGCTATAACTCTAATCCCAAGGGATCCTATGCGTTTTTTTCTGGTCTCCTCAAGGATCTGAATATGTGGTGTGTGAGCACACACACAGAGGCATTCATTTACAAAAATAAAAATTAAAATTAATTGAAAACTAAACGAGGTACAAAGGCATCCATCAGGCTATTTGTTTGTTTGTTTGTTTTTTGTTTTTTTGAGACAGGGTTTTTCTGTTCAACAGCCCTAGCTGTCCTGGCACTCACTCTGTAGACCAGGCTGGCCTGGAACCCACAGAGATCTGCTTACCTTAGCCTCCCAAGTGCTGGGGTTAAAAGACTGTTTTAACACTGGATTTCTACCTCCAGGTGCTCTCTCAGTGTGCAATGAGATCTGGGTCCGAATCAACTGACTTTTTTGTTTTGTATAATCATTACCAAAAGAAAGAAAGAAAGAAAACATTTACAGCACCCCTCAATGACATTGACATTACAGGACCTTATTTCCTGCCCCAGCCCTCACATTTGTGGCTGGCTTGGCCTATGTCCAGTTCTAAGTTTCCCAAGTGAAGCAGTTCTCAAAAGCACAAGCAGCAGCAACAGCAGCAGACAAAGCCTTGTTTTTTCTCAGCCTAAACGGAGTGAACTTTGAGTTAGCTTGCTTAAAGGAGATATTCCTGAAAATCCTTGAGTGGGTGAAATTTGAGACCAGATGAATCACAACTTAAAGGTTATTTGAAGGCCTCAGAGACACAGTGTTCTTGAGTAGGGGACAATTGTCTCTTATTTCATATTTGTGATATGAATGCTGGGAACTGAACTCCATTTATCTGAAAGAGCTGCAAGCATTCTTATCCACTGAACCTTCCCTTCTGCTTGGAAATCTTACGATAGGCTCTGAGAAGAGCTTAGTTAACGTAGCCTAGAACTGATAGACTCTTTGGGTGGAAATAGAAAGAAAAATCATCTCAGATCTTCGCTCCTACTGGCAGCATCAAGGACTAATCAACTCTAGGTTAAAAATTAATTAGCCTCTGTACCAGGCAGTGGTGGTACACACCTTTAGTCTCAGCACTTGGGAGGCTAAGGTAGGTAGGTATCTGTGAGTTCAAGGCCAACCTGGTCTACAGAGAGAATTCCAGGACAGGCTCCAAAGCTACAGAGAAACCCTGTCTCAAAAAAAAAAAAAAAAAAAAAAAAAAAAAAGCCTCTGCTATGTAGTAAAGTTTTTTGGGTTTTTTTTTTTTTTCCTGTTTGTTTTTATTAATTTTCTTATTGGTTTTTCTTGACAAGGTTTCCCTGTGTGCCTTTGGAGCCTGTCCTGACACTAGCTGTTGTAGACCAGGCTGGTCTGGAACTCACAGAGATCCACCTCCTTGTGCTGTAATCCCAAGTGCTGGGATTACAGGCCTGTGGTATAACTTTTAACTGAGACTTTTTTCACACACACTTCCCATATGTAGTAAAGCATCTTTATTTTATTTATTATTTTATTTTAGTCCTAAGAACAGAACCCAAGGCCTTACAATTACTAGGCAAGTATCCAAGTATCCTACCATTAACCTAAATCCCCAAACTTCTCTAAATTCTTTTAATTCTGAGAGTTTTCGTTTCTTTGGTTTGGGTTTTTTTTTGTTGTACTATTTTTGGTTTTTGAGGGGAGAGGTTGTTTTGTTTGTTTTTAAGATTTACTTATTTTTATTTACACAGTGTTCTCCCTTTGTTTTACTTTTTTTAAGTTACCTGAGCACCTTTCTTTCTCAAAACAAGTCACTCAAGACCCAGATCAGTATCGTCCTTTAAGTCGATGTCATCTTCATCTCCGTTAACAGCCTCCCAGTGCAGCCAAATAAGCAAACGTGTCAGGCAGGGTGTAGGATGAAGGATGCAAAGAGAGAGGGAGGGGGGGCAGCTTAACAGGTGTCAGTTGAGTAAAAGGCGTTTCCTCTCTGGGCTTTCTCCTGATCCGATGAAGTCTGGCAGGAAAGCTAGCTGTGTGTGCTAAGCCCGGTACTAGCCAGCACCTCACCTAGGGCTTCAGGCTCCTTGCAGGTAGGAGGGATTGCCCTTGTTTCCCTTTCGCTTTCTCAGGCCACCAAACCCCACGTCAGGGGCCGGAACTACAGTTCCCACCCACTGCTGCAAGGCAGGAGGAAGAAGAGCACCGAGGGCTGCAAAGGAAACCAGGAGAAAAGGCAAACAGTATCTGCTCGCCAGCCAGCAAGGTGAGGGAGGGGACAGGTAAGCAACAGGTGACCCAGGTAAAGGCTGCGGGCATGGGGAAGGTTGTCTGGGAGCATTCTGCCGCTTTCTGCTTGCTGGGCTTGTGTGCTAGCTTCAAGGGGGCTTTTGTGGAATTCCGGGCTCTTTGAGGGGAAGGAAGAGAATGGGGACTTGGAAACAAGGTTTCAGCTCAAGTTACAGTGATCAGATGCCGGAAGTGGAATGGCTTTCTTTAGTTGAAAAGAAGCAAAAGAGTAAAAATGTGGTTTGATTGTATCTCTTCTCTACTGGATCGTTTCTCCTTATGTGATCTCAGGGACACCCAGAGGTCCTAGCCGGCCCCTTGCCTCTTTAAAGCCTTTGGTTTCTACCAAACTGTAGAGTAGGTATTTGTGTGCGAAAATAGACAGGAGCATTTGTGTGCATTTTAATTGGTCTGTCGATACAGGCATGGGCTTTTCTATGGCACCTGAGAAAACCAGAGAATAAATCAAGGAGAAAGAAATGAGGGTGACTTATGACAGGCGCAGTTTAGTGAACCTCAAATCCAATCATCGGAGTATTTGGGGTGTTTTGGCCTCATGGGTATTTGGTAAGGGGATCTAGCTAAATGTGTGAGCGATGGCTTAAATGCAAGTACCTGCCCCCTGGGGAATATGCTTGCTACTTCGAACATCTGCCCAGTTGTCATGTGGACTAGGAATTCAACATGTTGTTACAAAGCAAGGGGAGCTCTGAGCCAGGGACCCCGGGAGACAGGGTTCAGCCATGGAATGAAGGACAGCCCTGGTGACAGTGAACGGCTTTCGGGAGAAAGCGAGCTCCTTGCGAGCTCCTTGACATTGAAGAGATCTAAGCACAGGTGGATAGTAAAGCAGAGATGCTGAATGAGGGAGGGAATGTAGTTCCAGATGATTGATGCATTGACTGTTGCTTCTCAAATCTCATTAGACTCAATTGGGGAACATACGTATGCATCTGTTACTGTTTTAATTTTTATTTGTGTGTGTTCATGTATGTACACATCATGTGGCAGCCGGAGGTCTACTTCACCTGTCATCCTCAGCACCATTCGCCACTGGGTGGCTAGGCTGGCTGACCAGTGAGCCCCAGAGATCCTTTCGTACCCACCCATCCCAGAGACAGAGATACAAGCACATGCCACCATGTCTGGCTTTCTTTCTTTTTCTTTTTTAATATAAACACATGTAAAATAAGAATAAATATTTTTCAAATGTTTTATTTTTATCTTATGTATATGTATGATTTGTTTGCATATATATCTATATATCCATGTTCTGAATGCATGCAGTGCCCGTAGAGGCCACAGAACAGTATTGGATCTCCTGAAACTGCAGTTTCAGATGGTTGTGAGGCATCCTGTGGGTGCTAAGAACGCAACCTGGATCCTCTGAAAGAACAGCCAGTGCTCTTAACTACCGAGTCATCTCTCTAGCCCCATAAATTTTACGTGTGTGTGTGTGTGTGTGTGTGTGTGTGTGTGTGTGTGTATGGATGAATAGATGTAGTAAGTTCTAAGAATATATATTTTTAATTATTGCCTCCAGCTAATTCTGATAATCAGTAAGTTTGGCAAATACCAACACCAGAAACCTTTAATCTATTCTCTCTTCCATGCTAGAATTTCCCACAGAGTTCTCCCTGTAACTAAACTTTTAATGTGAATATCCTCAAAACTCTAATGTCCTGCCTGAGAAAAATGGATTGCTGCCCAGAATAAAAAAGGTCACGTGGGTGCTGGCAAGATGGTTCCAAGGTTTAAAGTACCTGAGTTCCATCCCCAGCATCCACTTTGAGCTCACCACTGCCTGTCACTCCAGTTCCAGGGCAGCCAATACCTCTGGCCTCTTCAGGCGCTGTACTCATGTGCAGTCACAGACCTGTGAGTCCTTAAACCGGCTTCTCAGTCAATTCTTGTCACTTGTCATGAGCCGACGGGGCATGTCTTCCCCCTGACTGACAGCCAGGGAGTTACTGCTGTAGGCATTACCTTCACTGTCCTGCTCTTTGGGCACCTCATCTTCAAGACTGGGATTTTCCCACGTCTCTAATTTAGTCAAGTTGACTAGACTCTGTTCCCATCAAAGAATGGCCTTACAGTGTGACAGCTTTCCTGAAGCTGTGTCCACATATGCCTGGGGCTTATGGGACAATTGCCTCCACCTGAACAGTCATGACACCCTTCACCCATGAACATGTTTGTCCCTTGAAAGCCATGACTGCCCCAGCTTGCCTTCTCTGGATCCTCGGTGCAGGAGCCTGGTAGGCACTCACTGGAGAAAAACCGAACGCTGTGTCTCCTCCCTGGGTCTGTTCTATGTTCTAGGAAGCCGGAGCCATGCAGTTCTCCAGCTCAGCCAGAGCAGCAGATGAGAACGTGGACTACTTGTTCAAGGTCATCCTTATCGGAGACTCCAATGTGGGGAAAACGTGCGTGGTACAGCATTTCAAATCCGGGGTCTACAGCGAGTCACAGCAGAACACCATTGGCGTAGACTTCACAGTACGCTCCCTCGAGATAGACGGCAAGAAAGTGAAGGTCAGAGGGGCACCAGGGTAGTTCCGTTGTTTCAGCCAGAGCCCCCATTTTAAGTGGGGTATATACACTTTAAGGAAGGTATAAGAAGCCATAAAGAGGATATTGCTGCCAGGTGGTGGCGGCCCACACCTTTAATCCTGGCAGGAGGATCTAAGTAAATTCAAGGCCAGCCTGGCCTTCAGAGCTAGCCCCTGGACAGCCAGAGCAGTTACACAGAGAAACCCTGTCTCAGGAAATAAAATAATAATAATAATAATAAAAAAAAAAAAAAAAAAAAAAAAAGAACAAAGTCAGCCCCAGCATGATAGCTGGCCACCAAGCCTGATCTGATTTCCTTCCCTGGGCCCTACTAGGAGACTCTGCCCTGTCCGACACACCTGTGGAGGGTAAGAGGCCCTCCTGCACTCAGATAAGCACTGAAGAATCCAGGGAAAGTTCAACTCAAAGGCTTATCTCTCCAGGGATATCACTTCCTCCTAGGAGAAGATGTAGTTTGCAAACTGGTGACCCTTTGCTATCGATAGAGCCAGGCTTTACCCCTAGAATTTATATTTTGTTTATCCCAGAACTTTCCCCTTAAATCTTGAATATTGCCTCTAAGTCTATTAAACCCATCCTCTAGGAGTGATGTCACTTGTATTTTATACAGCAGCCTAAGTGACTCCCTCCCCCCTTTAGTTTTACAAGACAGGGTTTCTCTTTGTAGCCTTTGCTGTCCTAAAATGCCTAAATTCTTTAATCCCAGCACACCGGAGGCAGAGGCAGGTGGATCTCTGAGTTCGAGGTCAGCCTGGTCTACAGAGCATGTTCCAGGACATCCAGGGCTACATAAACAGTCTCACGACAACAACAACAACAACCAGAGTTTGAGGGAACTGTCTGTAAGTTGACTTAAATGAAGGGGTGTCTATGTTGCTGTCCTGTTATCTCTTCTGCCCTGCAGATGCAGGTGTGGGACACCGCGGGTCAGGAGCGCTTCCGCACCATCACCCAAAGCTACTACCGAAGCGCCCACGCAGCCATCATCGCCTATGACCTCACACGCCGGTCCACATTTGAGTCTGTCCCTCACTGGATTCATGAGATAGAAAAATACGGAGCCGCTAACCTGGTCATCATGCTGATAGGTAGGGCGTTTTCCAAGCAGCTAACTTTTCTTGACCAGCCTCTGCCCACTCTCAGCTTGCTTTCCTTCATAGTAGACTAGGAAACCCTGAAAGTCTTAAGTGCGGAGCCATCACAGCCAGAACAACAACCATCCTCAGGAGGCAAAAAGGTCAACAGGACTAAGTAGCTGGTATCGGTTCAAACTTCAGGAGTCTGGCCCCAAGTAGTTTATTTTAGGCATATTTAAACACAGCACAATTTGACGAAACTTTCCTGCTGATAACTAACTCAATTCCATGTGCACAATAAAGCATAAAGTAAGCTAAATAAAGGTTATGGACTGGGCAGTGGTGGCGCAAGCCTTTAATCCCAGCACTTGGCAGGTAGAGGCAGGCGGATCTCTGTGAGTTTGAGGTCAGCCTGGTCTACAGAGTGAGTTCTAGGACAGCCAGGGCTACACAGAGAAACCCTGTCTAGAAAACAAACAAGCAAAAAGGCCCCAAATCCCCAGGGAGCCACTTAGATGAATGTCAGTGCCCAAGGAATGACTACTTACAGGTGTATAAATTCCTAGGCAAAACTTTTAAAAAAACAACATAAACATTCATGGAAGTTGATCATGTGATCCCAGTTCTCTGGGTGATGAGGCGGGTAAATTGAGAGTTCAGGAGGATCCTGGGGAGATGTCCCAGTCAGTGAAGTGCTTGCTGTAAAAGCATGAGGTCATGAGTTCAAATCCCCAGCTCCCAGGTCAAAGGCAGGTGCTGTGGGACACACACATCTGTGATCCCAGGGAGACCCACCGAGTTCATCAGCCGGCCAGTCTATCTGAGCCAGTGAGGCCAAGGCTCACGGAGGCCATATCTCAAAAAAGGAAAGCGATCAGGAGGCAACTTCCTGTGGTAGCTTACACTGATGGCTGCCTCAGATGGTCCTTAGGCATATGGCACATGGAATTTCTTTTCTTAAGCCATCCATCAAAGGACTGGGCACCGTAGTTAAGAACCAATATTTCAGAGTTCAGGATTCGTTAGATTTCTGGTACATTTGGTATTCTATAGGAACGTCAGCAGGGCCTCGGCCACCACCTATGACTGTGACTGTGAAACCAGGCTAGCCTGGGCTACATGAGACCCCGTCTCCAAGAACACAGAGGGGCGAGGAAGACAGCTAAGGGATGAAGGCACTTGCCACCAAGCCTTAAGGCCTGAGTTCAGTCCCCAAGAGAAAAAACTTGAAAGTTGTCTCCTGACCCCCACGTGTGCTGTGCTGTGTGGGTGCCCTACACTCCCAACACAAGAAATCAGTGTAATTTTTGTTTGTTTGTTTGTTTGTTTGTTTGTCAGTTTTTGAAACAGGGCTTCTCTGTGTAGTCCTGGCCATCCTGGAACTCACACTATAGACCAGACTAGACTTGAACTCAAAGATTCTCCTGCCTCTGCCTCCCAAGTAGTGGGATTAAAGGCCTGCCTGGCTATACATTTTTTAAAAAAATTTAAAAATACAAAGACAGGCTTGGTGGTGGTGGTGCATGTCTTTAATCCCTCCACTCAGGAGACAGAGGCACAGGATCTCTGTGAGTTCAAGGTCAGCCTGGTGTTCAGAGCAAGATCTGGGACAGGCTCTAAAGTTACAAAGAAGCCATCTTGAAAATCCAAAAACAAAAAAAGAAAGACAGACAGACAGACAGACAGTGGGAAAACAAGGGAAGGGGAAAGTTCATTTTCAATAAAGACAGGTTGTTACTGAGCTATGTTATATTTACACATCGTCCGCCTGCAGGAAACAAATCGGACCTGTGGGAGAATCGGTGTGTCCTGTTTGAGGACGCCTGCACGCTGGCTGAGAAGTATGGCCTCCTGGCTGTCTTGGAGACCTCCGCCAAGGAGTCCAGGAACATAGATGAAGTCTTCGTGCTCATGGCGAAGGAGTTAATTGCCCGAAACAGTCTGCACCTGTACGGGGAGAGCATCCAGCATGGCTTCTCCCAGGATTCCAGCCCAATTCTTGTGGCCCAGGGCCCCAGGGAGAATGCCCGCTGTACTTGCTGAACACGTGCGGAAGGCCAGCACAAACGCCAGGGTGTCCGGGTACCAGTGTCTCCAGGTAGCTTTGCAGGCAGAGCCTTATTCCTGGCCTGGATGGGCAGCACAGACTCTGAGGAAAGGGGATGCCACTGTCCTCAAGGACTGCTAATGAAATGAGGACCTCAGGCCTTGGGGGAGGAGGGTTAGGATGAATTTTCCCCATCCTGGTCTCTGTCTCCCCAATTGTTTTGTAGTGGAGTTTGCTTCTCTGTTGTTCAAAGACAGTAGTGACAGGAAGAACAGGAATATGCCGAAAGGATATTAGAACATTCTAGATTTGGAAACAGCCCAGGACCGGGTAGGGGAAGGTCTGTAATGAAAAGCCAGACTGCTTCCTGATAGTCAAATGTCTTCTTCCCACGGAGCAAGAGCTGTTGGCTAAAAGCCAGAAATGCCATCTTGCCAATTGGTCAGGAACCAGGAGGCAGATGGAACTGGCCCCTTCCCTGTCCATCTGTTTGAGCATGGAGGTGGAAGAGATGCTTACCATGAACTCCTAAAGCACCAAATTACCGACTACACAGAAGTCACTTCTCAATTGGGATTAAATTGTTGCTGAGCAGTGGTGGTGCACACCTTTAATTACAACACTCAGGAGACAGAGGCAGGTGGATCTCTGTGAGTTTGAGGCCAGCCTGGTCTATAGAGCGAGTTCCAGGACAGCCAGGGCTACACAGGGAAACCCTGTCTCAAAAAGCCAACACAAAAGTTTTTCTAATTGTTCTATAGATGAGTTGTAAACAAGCGTTGTGTTGCCTCCCATACTATGTGGTGGAGTAGCCCTCAGTTTCAGAACTACAATCAGAGGGTTCGGGTGTAGCGCAGTGTTAGAGCACTTGGTGAGCCAGTATAATGTCCTAGCTTCAATCCCCGACACTGCAAAAACAGACAACAAATAAATAAATGGAAGAAAAAAAAAAACAGTAATTAATTGACCCAAACATACAGGAGGGCTAGGCATGGCGGCCTTGAGACCGCAACGCCAGCTCCTGGGAAGTAGGGATGCGGGAGGCAGGGATGTAATGTGTCTTTGAGTCTTTGTGTGGCTTCGGTCAGATCCAGCCGGATGCCTGGCTTGCACCTGAGGGGGTGGTGTGACTAAGAAATGGCAGTAAAGATGCTAAGCAAAGACAGACACAGGATAGACTCGGGAGGGCAATCCAGTGAATATGAATGCCCCAAGTTATTCTTCACCATTCTTAAGTACTCCAACCAAAAGGGGAACATGGCAGACTTCTTTATCAAACAAACAGACTTTCTTCCCCTAATTCTCCAAACATTTGGTAATCACGCCTTAGACTCAATTTCCCGTTATCCGGCCTTGAGGGTTAAGAGTAACCACACCTCAGACCAAGTCTGTTGAAATTTAGATAAGACATCCGCTACCAAGATCAAAGCATCCTACAGTGGCCAGGCCTTAGACCTTTAGGTCTTATGAGTTACTAAGGACAGTTTTGAACCTCTGACCTTGAGCCAAGATGAAACAGAGCCATCTTTATGGCCATGACAGGGAGAAGTTGAAGGTCATCCTGGCTACATGACTGAATGTGAGGCCAGCCTAGGTCTGTCTGAGACCATCTTACAATGTTACATTATTGAGCAGAGTTTGTTCATTCAGGCCTGTGGTCTTATTGACTCAAGATACTGAGGCAGGAGGGTCAAAAGTTCGAGACCAGTGATGAAGAAATAACTCAGTAATTAGCTGGTACTGCTCTTGCCAAGGATCTGAGTTTGGGTTCCTGGCACCTGTGTTGGGCAGCTTGCAACAGCCTGTAACTCTTGCTCCTCACAAGAGCCTGCACTCACATGTGCATAGTAACACACACACACACACACACACACACACACACACACACACACACCTAAATCTAAAAATAAACCTCAAGACCTGCCTTGACTACAGAGCAAGTTCAAGGCCAGCCTGAGCAATTTTTGAAGCCAAAACAAAGGGCTGAGGATATATGGTGATAGAGTGCTTGTCCTAACATGTTCCAGGCTCTGGGTTCAATCCCAGAAAACAAAACAAAACAAAAACCTACTGAAATGTACAGGAGACAAGGAGGGGTACTATTAGGATCACACCCAGCTTCAGGAGTCTGAGCCCCAGAAGGCAGCAGGCAGTCAGCTGATCCCGTGACGGACAGAAATTGGGTGAAACCCTCGTTTACCACTCCAGTGCCGCCAGCCGAAGCCACCTGTGGCCTCCCCACATCCTCTCACCCAGCCACTGTGGCTTGGTCCCCTCTTTCCCTGCTCTTTCTAGGACCCAGGCTGTATCAAGGCCTGGAAGGAGGCGCTGTGTGTGTGTGTGTGTGTGTGTGTGTGTGTGTGTGTGTGTGTATGGGGATTGCCGGGGAGTGACAAACTCTCCAAAAGCACTCACATCCTGTGTGGGAAGCCAGTTCTTCAGGCCATATCTGTCCTTCCTGATCGATCACCCTCCTGTCTCTCCTAAGGACAGTAGGTAAGAGTGAGAACTTGACCTTAGCCAACAGACAGGACAAGAACAGCAATGGACAGAGGTCTGACACTCTGACCACCACATGGCCACTCAAACAAAGCTCTGCCATTGTGACGCCATGCCCCTGATGCTGTATAGCAAACAGGCCTCTCACCAGGGCCGACACTGGGGCTTTTCACCCGAGTTAAGTAAACCACTTTTCTTTGTGAGCTACCAAGCCTCAGGCATTGTATTGTAGTAACGTAGATGGATTACTAAAGCAGTCTGCTAAGTCAGGTGCAGAGGCTGGATGGTGGTGGTGCACGCCTTTAATCCAGGCACTTGGGAAGCAGAGGCAGGCGGATCTCTGTGCATTCCAGGCCAGCTTGGTCTACACAGCGAATTCCAGGACAGCCAGAGCTACACAGAGAGACCTGTCTCACAAAAACACCAATGAGTGCAAGGACTGCTCCTACCTCACCATCCTCAGTAGCAGGAACTGCAGACACACTCTGTTGTGACTAGTTTAGATATGTACTTATAACTGGAACTTCATAGCCAAATTCACAAGAATAGCAGCAATCTTCGGGTGGGGTTAAAAATGAAGAGATAACTACATGGCCTGTTCAGCTGAGAAAAGGGAGGCCTTAAGGCTCACTGCCCACAGGGGGACAGGAGAGGTCACAAACTCCTCACAGAGAACTTCAGGCCACTCAGCAATCTGAGGAAGACTAAAGCATGTGGTGAAAATAATCATAGACAAGAAGGATGGCTCAGAGTGCTGGAGATGCTGACAGCTAAGACCAACAACCTGTGCTTAATCCACAGGACTCACACAGGAGAGAGAAGCAACTCCTGCACATGCACACACACGCATGCACACACTCACACACACACACAGGGGTGCATACACTGGCATGTCCATTCACACAAGCATGCACACAATGGCATGTTCATACACACACACACACACACACAATGGCATGCACATACACTTGCAATGCATCCCCGAGGGCTGGAGACATGGTTTAGTTGACAGAGTGCTTGCCTAATTTGCACAAACACCAGTGCCAAGTGTTTTAGTACACACCTATCATCCTGGCACTTGGAAAATAGAAGCACAGGGTCACCCTCAGCTACACAGCAAGTCAGAGGGACAGCCTGGGATACAAGAGACCCTGTATCAATCAAACTGTTAAAAAAAACAAAGCTACTCTTTTGGCAGACATTTCTTTTTTTATTATTATTATTATTATTTATTTTTGAGACATGGTTTCTCTGTTTCCCAGGCTGTCCTGGAACTTGCTTTGAGACCAGGCTGGCCTTGAACTCACAGAGGTCTGCCTGCCTCTGCCTCTGCCTCCTGAGTGCTCTGATTAAAGGCGTGTGCACCACCACATGGCTATGAGGCACACATTTCTTTTTCCTTTCCTTTCTTTTCTTTTTTTTTCCCCCTTTTTTAATTTAAATTTGAAACAAAGTTGTTTTACATGTCAATCCCAGTTCCCTCTCCTCCCAAGTCCCCCACCAAACCCCGACCCATCCCCTTTCTGCTCCCCAGGGAGGGTGAGGCCTTCCATGGGTGATCTTCAAAGTCTGTCATATCATTTGGAGCAGGGCCTAGGCCCTCCCCCATGTGTCTAGGCTGAGGGAGTATCCCTCTATGTGGAATGGGCTCCCAAAGTCCACTCGTATACTAGGGATAAATACTGATCCACTACCAGAGGCCCCATAGACTGCCCAGGCCTCCTAACTAACACCACATTCAGGGGGTCTGGGTCAATCCTATGCTGGTTTCGCAGCGCTCAGACCGGGTGCATGAGCTCCCCTTGTTCAGGTCTGTGTGGCACACATTTCTAATTCCAGCACTTACACATGGGTATCTGGGGTAAAAGGACCACAAATTCAAGGGCAGTTCGAATTACAGAGAGGAACCAAACTGCAGGAGACAGGCACCTGCCAGCACTTGCTTAACTTGTTACCCAGTCTGAGACCAGGTCTCACTGCGTACCCTTCTCTGGCCTGGAACTCATTAAACAAGACCAGAATGAACTTAAATTCAGAGACCCACCTCTGGCATGCTGGGCTTACCGGCATGGGATACCATGCCCAGTAGCACTGAATCCCAGCACTGAAGGCAGAGGCAGGTGGATCTCTCTCTCTGTGAGTTCCAGGCCAACTGATCTATACAGTAAACTTACTGTGTAGCCAGCCAGCCAGCCATCACTACTTAGTGAGCCCTCCTTTCAGAAAAAGACAAAAAACAAAAACAAAACATAAAACAATAATAGTTTGCACTCTGAAAGGAAGTACACGTCACCAGGTGACTGGATACCGCCCTGTGGGGGGAAACTAATTCTTCGTTGAGCTACAGTTCCCACCAACGCTCTGAAATTCTCATCTTCTATGATTACACACTTGTGGGGGGGGGGATCTGGATTCAAAGAGCCCTCCCTACAGGTTACATGTGTGAGAAGAACCCACCTGAATACCGGCAACGACAACCTCGTTAACCAGTCCAGGCTACTGTTGCAATTCTCAAGCACGCTCTGGAGAGGCACCCTGGAGACACAGACTGGAGGCCTTTGTGGGTTATGTGCACAAAAGTCTTGTCTGCTCTAAAGAGTGAGGCAGGGTCCTCAGAGCTAGTTAGGCTTCTGACTGCCCTGTAAAACCATTCCCAGTGGACTTGGCCTCAGACTCAGCCCTGGACAGGCTAGGCAGAATAAAATTATGGCCATTTTCACACATCCCCAATATTGTAGAGCTAAGCAACCTGGGAGTTATATGGAGTCGAGATCCCAAAGGGATGTTTTGAAAAAGACATAAAACATTTCATTCAGTATTTATTTGCACGAGGAAGTTAATATTTCATAGCTTATAAATTGTCTCCGAGGAGGCTGTGGCGTGGCACGGGCAGAACCTGTGAGAGGGAGGGGCATCTACCACAGTAGCCAACCTTGGCTTTGACAGTGGTGAGTAGCCTGTCGGCATACCATCAACAGGGCTCGACGGGCCAGTGAAGCTATGCCGTGTGATCTGTCTGCAAGGGTAACAGTGAAGAACGCGCGTCCTCATGACTGAGAGTGTTCATCTAGCCCTGCATCACGGAGCTGGACACCAAACAGCTTCAAGAGTCAACATCGGAACGCATGAAATGGCTCACCCACCACGCCTGACGACCCAAGTTCAGTCCCCAGTGTTGACAACTTAAACACCGCATGAGAGAAAGAGGCCGTGCGTGAAACAGGGTTCAAACACAAGGGTTTTTCTTATTAGGGAAAGGGATCGTAAAATGGGGAAAGGGGAGGAGGGAGACTGGCCTCTGGAGACTGGAGCAGCGGGAGAGAGGAAAGAAGGGGAGAGAGGGAGAGGGAGAAGGATGGGAGGTGGGCAGGGCCCTTTTAAAAGGGAGCACAGTGGATGTGCACAGGATGCAGCTACTGGCTGCAGCTGAGGGCGTGTCCTGTCAGGACCCCAAGGACAGGCCGGTACAGACGCCTGAGTGCTAACACCCAGGACCTACTTGGTGGAAGGAGAGTATAGACGCCCTTGCACAAGCACACACTTGTGCACGCACACACACAAACTTAATAAAAATTTAGTCTTTAAAGAAAGTCAGCATTTGATTGTATGGAGGAATATCTTGTGGGGTTTATTTTTCATAAATTATTTTTTTCTAGCTTTGTTGCTTTTCCTGCATGTATGTCTGTGTGAGGATGTCAGATCCCCTGTGACTGGTGTCCCAGGTAGTTGTGAGTTGTCATGTGGGTGCTGGGAATTGAACCCAGGTCCTCTGGAAGAACAGCCAGTGCTCCCAATCACTGAGCCATCTCTCCAGTCCGTGTAGAGACTCAATTAAAAGGAGAAATTGCCTTCAATCCCAGAAATACCCAGTCTGTGGTTTGCAATGGAAGGTGCCAATCATAAGGCTGAAGACGCCGTCACACTGCAGCTGAGCTGGGTCACATGGTTAGCCAGGTGTGGTGGTGCACGCCTAATCCTAGCACTCGGGAAGCAGAGGCAGGCAAATCTGTTACAGCGGAGAAAGGGAGAGCGAGAGAGGAGACACAGAGGGATAAGAGGGACAGAGACAGAGAGGGATCAGAGAGAGACAGAGATAACAACAGAGAGATGACAGAGACCTCGGTTCCTTATTTAAGACATCTTCCCAGCTCCCATAACTATCTTAAATACATGGTGGTATCAATTTTAATCCCAGCACTGGGAAGACAGAGGCAGGTGGATCTGTGAGTTCCAGGACATCCAGGGATACACCCTGTCTCCAACAAATAAGTCCCCCTTTTCCTGTGACAATTAACTTTTTTTCTTTTTTTTTTAAGATACCAGGTTTGCAACCTGTCCCGGAACTAGCTCTGTAGGCCAGGCTGGCTTCGAACTCAGAGATCAGCCTGCCTCTGCTTCTGACTGCCGGGATTATAGGCGTGAGCCACCACCCTCAGTGCACTTCGTTAAACTGGTAAATTCAAAGCAAGTCATAGCTCACAGTGTGAGAAAGACACTCAGCAGCTTATCTCCCCGAGTCCCATGTCCCTCAACTGAGCATTCTCTTCATGGTGAGGCTGGTGGCACAGCCACTTTTCACAAAGGGTACTGCCATGGGAAAGGGCAACATTAAGTCACAGAAGGGCCTTATCTGACTGGGTTTGCATATCTGTGTGTGAATGGTTTCTGTTAACGTTGTTGTTTTAACCTCGGCACAGTGCTGTGCCTTAATCTACTGCTGCTTCAGCCTGTGACTGTGACTCCAGTTACCAGGCAGCGGTTCAGCTGCTCAGGGGTGGGTGCACCCTGGTGGGAATCTTGTTCCTGCAGGTAGTTTAAATAAACTCAAGATTCAAACCTGAAAGCTCAGAGTAGCAACTAGCTAACTTCTCCTAGCTGGCATCTCCCAGACAGCATCCTTCTGTTCAGCCAAAACAAACAAGAGGCCACGCCGCTCCAAATCCCTCCCTACTCTCCTGATGTCTCTTTCGGATGCCCTCTGGTGCTCTACAATTACTTCCTGTAAACTAGTCAGCCTCCTGACCCAAGGTTAACTTAATCAACACAAATGCAACTGGGTTCAGTGTGACCAAATGTCCCCCCAACATTCATGGTCTAATGTTGGGGCCCTTAAAGACGGCTGCACTAAAAATCAGAGAGTTCAAAACTGTCCTTAGTAAGTCATAAGGCCTAAAGGCTGCTCTTCCAGAGGCCCTGGGTGCTAATCCTAGCACCAACACTGGGTCACGCTGCCTGCAACTCCAGTTCCAAGGGGAGTTTCTCTACATGTGGTAACATGTAAATATATGCAGGCAAAACACCCAACACCCACACAGGCAGGCAATGGCGGCACTCATCTTTGATGGCACTCAAGAGGCAGGCGGATATCTGTTGAGTTCAAGGACAGCCTGGTCTTACAAAGTGAGTTCCAGGATAACCAGAGCAATCCTGTTTCAAAGTTTAAAAAACAAAAACAAAAACAAAAACAAAAACAAAAAAAAAAAAAAAAAAAAAAAAACCCAAGGAATTACTCTTTCAAATTCCCAATCCTACTTATGGTCTATCTACACCTATCTTACTTAGGAACCCGAACCAGGCCTCAACTATAACAAGCACATGGTACCAGGAGAGAGATGGCCAATTTGTATATGAAAGCAACCTAGACAGTCTTGTAGATCTTGGAGAACAGCTGTGGGGCGGCAGCCAGCCCACAGATGCCTGCTCGGGGAATTCTGTAACTGCTCCGCAGACCAACTGCTGAGGATCACTTGGCCCAAAGGGTGGAGTATGTTTTTTTTTTTTTTTTTTTTTTTTTTAAATTGGAGGGTATATGACAGGTTTGCTCAGTTGGTAGAGCATGAGACTTTTAATCTCAGGCTCATGGGTTCGGGACCCATGTTGGGCACCAGGTAAAGACTCATGCTAATGGCGTCAAGTCAGTTTATTAACAATGAAATCAGCACACAACACTCACAAGCAGGAAGCCGCTACACGGCTGCCTTCCTGCCACTTTAGCCTCCTTGTACCCAAGGGAATGGGGGAACCAAACCAAGCCGCCAGCCTTGAGTGCTCCCGCCAGCCTTGAGTGCTCCCAGGACTCACTGCCAGCTGTGCTGCCTTCCAAGAGACCATACTTGGCCCTGCTGCGGCTTCTTATTTGGGTCCCGCACCCTCCAATAACAACTCCACCCTTTGGGCCACCGGTCAGCAGAACAGTGACAGAACCCTGTGGCAGTTGCCTTCAAGTTCTCCAGAGGCTAGATGTCTTGGCAGAGACCCACTTTTTTCCCAGCCTATCTACGAGACTGAGAATGGAGTGAGTAAGCGACAGCTCTCGTGGCTGTGGTTTTTGGAAACAGGTCCTGATACAAACAAGGAAGCCAGTTTTGTTTTGTTTTGTTTTTTTTTTAATTGTTTTATTTGGGAAAAGTGCTTCTTACAAAAGGGCAGCTGCAAAATACAGAGACCTCTGCAACGATGACTTGCTTTTCTTAAGTGAAGGAATGGGCGGGCTCCAGGGAAGCAAGGCAGAGGGTAAACCCGAGCATCAAGTTATTTCCGGAAACAGAGCAACAAAAACGCAAAGGTGAAATTCCTATCAAGGAATCGCAGCAACTTAACTTTGGCTTGTCTTGCGGGTAGCCATGCCTTCCCCTTTCTTCAGTGGGAAAGGGGTCCATTACTACTGCAAATGACTCCTCTAGCACAATCAACACTTCAGTTTGGAATCCACCTGTCTACTTTCAAAGCTCAGGGATGGAATGAGGCAGATACCCACAAAACAAACAGAACCTCCTAATAGGTCCCCTCAAACGAGGACAAAGGTTTTTCCAAAAGGTGCCTCAACTGAAAAGGCTAAGACCATAAAACATTCAATACATGGTGTGTCCAAGACCCCGCTTGTACAGACAGGGGACAAGCTGGTCATTTAACCTCTATGGCTGATCCCATTCTCTAGCAGACAGACAGACAGAGCTACTAGCACTGCTATGTTAATAACTACAGACACACCGCTTGGTCCTTTATGACCTACCTGCCACGAGATTGAAGCCACTAACCCGTGTCTGCCCACAAAGGCTAAGAATACTGCACCTATGCCAAATGGGAAGCTGCTCACATGCTCGCTCACGCTCACCGCCAAGTCCATGGGTCCCAGGAGTTGCCTGACAACTCTGAATGGACACCACATCCTTTATGTTCTTACATTTTCTCACGTTAACCTCAACACATCTGCACCTGGTTCTGGTTACTCAGTAGTATTCCTTGTGTGCAATTAAACAAGAGCCCAGACCACAGGATAAACACGTGTGGTGGGGATTACAGGGTAGGGAACAGATATAAACCACAAAGGTGCAGATCTCACAGAAACCTCAAGGAGCCCTTCTACATCTAGGGCAGAGAGCGACTTACAACTTTTTTGTCCCTTCTTTCCCAATTACCCCTATCCTTGAACCCTTGAACCCCAAAGCACACTCAGTGCTTTCCTTTCAATTCGGGGTCTCAAAATGAGTGTGCAAATCCATGAACACAACCTGGCTGGAAACAGACGGCGCAACAAACCTACACTAACTGTCTGACAGTTAAATTCATGTTACAAAAAAACTAACTTGAAGATTTATTTTGTAACTTTTTGAAACAGAGAAAACAACACACTCTTGGGGAAAGTGAGGGGTAAAGGAGCAGACCCTGGGTAGTGATCACGACAGCACCTGGAGTTTGAGACCTGCCTAGGAGAGCCACACGCACTGACTGCCACACAGCACAGGGGACAGCTACTGGCTGAGCCTCCGCAGGCCAGTTCACACGCCACGCAAGCTGCTATAGATCCAAGTCATAAAAGTCCTCCAGCTCATCGTGAAACAAGTCCCACTCGTCCTCAGAGTCTGTCGGCTCGTCGTCCCCACCTGCAGCCAAAAGCATAAGCAACATCTCGCCCAGCTCAAAGGTGACAACCTCCTCTTCATCGGTGTCAAAGGGGTTGTTCTCTCTCTCCTCAATGAGCTCCCAGAAGTGGCTCCTTCGTTGGGCCTGTAAGAAACAAGGCCGTGGTAGGGATGGCACCGTCGAGCAGTGCCTTCTGCCCTGATGCTCACAAGGCAACCAGACTTCTCCCTCAGCCCACCTCACCAACCAACGCCTCCCCTCTGGCTGTTTGCAGCCAGCGTCTTAGGCGAGGGCTCCGAGCAGTTTCCTTTGCTAGCCCTCCCGGTTCGCTGGGGGTGACTCCTTTCCTCTAGCCTCCCTCCCGGACCTGAGTGTCCCCCCTACTCCGGCATGTGCAGGGTCCACCGACAGTGGGCTATTCCCCTCCTTTAAAAAAAGCAAGAGTTACCCGGTATCTGCTTGATGTTCCCACTTTCTGTCTCTGTGGCTCCTCTCTACGGCCATCAGGGTACGCATGCTTGTAAAAACAGTTCCCTCCAAAAGGGCAGCTCCCACGGCCTTCATCAAAATACCTGCACGCCTTGTTGCTGGAAAGGAAAACAGCACAAGCCTTATTCAGGGTGGACTTCAGGCCTGTACTGGCTTAGCAGCAGGGTTTTTCTCTAAACAGGGTCACCCGAGAAGTCTGCGCTCAGCCCCAAAGAGCCCCAAAGATGTGTCATTGGAAACGTGCCTGCTCTGACTAGAGGCATCTCTGCTTAAATGCACATGGTTTGCCAGCACTAACAAACACCCAAGTGCTAATCTTTCAGAATCCCAATACACAGGACTAGAATCCCTCCACGGGCTTCGGCTACTTCCTTCTAACAGTCCTTGGCTGACACCCAAGGACTGTTCAGGTTCGAAGCGAGAGGCACACTGGGCAAGCAGGAATAGGGTGACAAAAGCCGTCCTGGGAAGTAAAGGGAGGGTGGGAAGAGGGTGGGACACGGCGCACCCTGCTGGTTCTGTCCGAGCGAGCCGGGCTGCTCATACCTCATGGCCTCCTTGTATTTCTGAATGAGTCTCTGCTTCTCCTCCTTCTCCTCCACCCAGTACTCACTTGGAATGACAAAGTTAGATGTGATCCGGCATTCGGGGCAGGACCTGGGAAACAATGAACAGGCTACAATGCACAGTCCCTCTCCAGGCCCGCACTCACAGCACACCCTGGTGAGTCACCTCCAGACTTAGATTAACCGACAAGCATGTGGGCATTTCAGAAAGGGGTTCCACAAGAGCACAACTGACCCTTTCTTTGGAGGGAAGACAAACTCCTTCATAAATCAACTCAATGGCTAGCCAGTGCAAAACACAGAAACAAAACTGGAGTTCAAAACAAAACATTTCACACAGACTCCTTTCTTTTAAATAAATTTATTTCTTATAACTTTGCTCTGTTTGGATTGTGTGGCTTTTGTTCAGTTATGAGAACAGTTTTTAAAGGATGCTGGATTATTGGCTAGCTTAATGGATGGACTAGGATGGTAGAAAATGTAAAATGCCAGGAAACATACATATCAGAGCTAGATACGTTTGTTCATGAAGCCTAAACTGTCTAATCCATTAAACACAATCTCCTCAAAAAGCACAAGTCTTACTAACTGATACATACGGTTTCCTCATTCCAATAAAATAAGACAGACAAACTAACCTAGCAGCTAGCTGAAGTACAAAGAAGAAATCCCAATCAGAACACCCAGGTTCATGATAAAATACATGCATTTAAATGTGGCCCTTCTGGCAGAAGTTGGCACAAGACACTAAATTCTTCCCGAAAACAGAAAGCACAAGGAAGACTGGGGAGAGGGGGGGGCCTCACTTTATGATCTTGCTCTCAAACTGCTTAGCGCTTCTCCACCTGCGGATGCACTTGAGACAGTAGGTGTGGTTGCAGTTGGACAGGATCCCAAAGCGGCGCTCGCTGGGGTTGGCTTTCTCATAGACCACCTCCATGCAGATCCCACATACCATGTCCTTGCTGCGCTGTACAGCAAACGAGAGCTCCATGTCCTTCTCATGGGCCTCAATGCAAGACTGGAAGGGAGAGACAAGAGGCTCTGGTCAGGCTGCGGCAGTCCTGAGACCCCCTCCACGCATGTCCAGTCTGACCTGGAAGAAGGCTTTGCCTCTGTAGCTGCCTCACCTCACCATAGTTACTGGGGGGCTCAACTTCCAGGATCTGAAGAAGTTATCCACTTCCCTGTATTCTAGACCTGTAGAGCTCTAAAGCACAATTCTCCCCATCAAAGACCCTACCACTTTGTTAATGTTTCAGTTTCTAGATGGGTAATAGAAAAACAAGGATTAAAGCCTTCATTTCAAACCGGTCAAGATCCTGAACACTTGGGAGGTGGGGGCAGAAGCGGCAAGAGCCCCATAGGCGAACCACATGCTACACGAGACCTTGTCTCGAAAGAAAAATAAAAGCTAGTCAGGTGTGGTGGCGCACACCTTTACTCTGTTTGCTATGAAGCAGAGGCAGGCAGATCAGAGTTTGACAACAGCCTGGTCTACATCGCAGGCTCCAGGACGGCCAGGGCTATGTAGAAGGACCCTGACTCAAAACAAAAGCAGACAAGAACAAATTAGATGGACAGTACTAAAGTAAATCTGAACATGTACTAGGTAACGACTACACAGGGACATTATTTCCATATCCCTTTGGAGGAGGATGGTTTCAGTGGTGCACGCTTGTAATTCCAACATTCAAGAGGCGAAGCAGGAAGAATCCCACAAACCTGAGGTGCAGCCACCCTCATCTATGCAATGAGTTTCATCCAGGCCAACAAACCAGTCAACAAGGGCAATACCACGAGACACTGCTTAAAATCCACACACCACACACTTCACCCTTAGCATATGCAGTTAACTGATTTCTAGCACCTTCAGCAGTACAATTAACATTTAATATTAAAGGTTTGTTTTTTTTGTAGTGTGTGTGTGTGTGACATGTGTGTGTGTGACATGTGTGTATGTGACATCTGTGTGTGTATGTGACATCTGTGTGTGTGTGACATCTGTGTGTGTGTGACATCTGTGTGTGTGTGTGACATCTGTGTGTGTGTGACATCTGTGTGTGTGTGTGATATCTGTGTGTGTGTGACATCTGTGTGTGTGTGTGACATGTGTGTGTGTGTGTGACATCTGTGTGTGTATGTGACATCTGTGTGTGTATGTGACATCTGTGTGTGTATGTGACATCTGTGTGTGTATGTGACATCTGTGTGTGTGTGTGACATCTGTGTGTGTGTGTGAGCGTATGTGCTGGTGCCAACAGAAGTCAGGATTTGGATGTCCCTGGACTGGAATTACAGATAACTGTGAGTCACCAGATGTGGGTGCTAGGAATTAACTCAGATGCCTTCAAGAAAGCTAAGGCACCTGTTACTAACAGAATGTGCTCATTAATTATTCTTCATAACCCCATATTCCTAACAGTTATCGTATGTGGGCAGCTATTATTCTGTGGTCAGACAATTCTGTGGCTTAGAGACCAGCCTGACTGACTTTACAGTATTTTCCTTCAAGCTTACCTGTTTACTGCTTAGAGTAACAGCCTGAGTTCTCAGAACCTATTTTCTCTACCCATTTCCACCTACTCTGAGACTGCCTGAATGATGATTACCAAAGGTTCCTGACCACACAGCCTATCTCCTCAGAACTGTCCTGACTTTTACAAAGGGCTGTGCCAGGTGTGAGCATTCATGAAAGAAAGCTGAGTACTGGGCTGGACAGATGGCTTCACTTTTAAGAGTACTGGGTGCTCCTTTCAAAGGACCTGGTTCAATTCCAAAAAACCACAAGGCAGCTGAGCTCCTTCACTCCTGCTCCAGGGGATCTGACACCTTCTTCCGGCCTCTGATGACACTGCATGCATGTGATGAATAGACATACAAAGCACCCACATACATAAAGCCATGGATAAATTTCCATGTATTACCACTGGCAATGTAAACAGGGCAGCACCACACAACGCCAGAGAGGTATTCAATGGGGAGTAAGTGGAATTATTAGCTGACCAGTGATCACTATACTTCCAAAGGCTACCAGGCTGGCCAGCCTGATATATATGGCTTATAGGTCAGCATCTACTGTCAGGCTGACAAGTTGAGCTCAACCCCTGGGTCCCACATGGTGGAAGAAACCATCACCCAAGCTGACCTTTGACCTCTACACATGTGTGCTGTGACATACAACCCTCCTCACACCGAGGAAACATAAAAACAAATTTTAAATATTTAAGATAAAGACATGTTCACGGCTGGAGAGATGGCTCAGAGGTTAAGAGCATTGGCTGCTCCTCCAGAGGTCCTGAGTTCAATTCCCAGCAACCACATGGTGGCTCACAACCATCTGTAATGCGATCTGGTGCCCTCTTGTGGCCTACAGGCAGAACACTGCACAAATAATAAGTAAATAAAATCTTAAAAAAAAAAAAGTGTTCAAAGGATCACAGTAGTCACACCCACTAAGAAATAAAGAAAAAAATATTTGCACTACAAGAGGCAAATAATCCAAATATCCATCAAGTAATTAGTAGAAAAACACAGTATTGGGGAGCTAGCAAACTGCTCATCATACATATAAGCACATAAGCCCCTAGGTCTGGACTCTCAGCTTGATTCGAAAGCCCAGGCACAGCAATGAGCATTTGTAATCCCAGCACTGAGACATGGGTACAGATAGGCAGGCAATCCGATTGGTAAACTCTAGAATGAGTGAGAGACCTTGCCTCACCTCAAAGGTTAAGGTAGAATACAGCCAGGTGGTGGTGGCACACGCCTTTAATTCCAGCACATGGAGGCAGAGGCAGATGGATCTCCATGAGTTCGAGGCCAGCTTGATCTGCAGAGAGTTCCAGGACAGCCTCCAAAGTAAGTAATACAGAGAAACCCTGTCTCAAAACATTAACAAAAACAACCAAAAAACAAAAAGAAAAGAAAAAACTAAAATGTTAAGGTAAAGAACAATAGGAAAAAAGACATCCAAAGTTTAACCTCTACCTTCATGGAAATATACCCAAGTGTAAACATACTACATACAACAAATGTGTAACAGCCACACAACCAGCATTTCCCAACAGGGAAACCCTTGAAAATATCACGCTAAATGAGAAGGACCAGTCACCGAAGGTCAAATATACTGAGAGATTTGGCCTGATAAACCATCTAGCATTGGTAAAGCACATAGAGAAACAAAGTAGACCCATCGTTGCCAGGGAGCTCAAGGACAACAGACAACGGACGGACTACTAAGTGGGCCGTGTTTCTTTGGGGGTGAAAATGACTGGAGAATGCTATGAATATTTTAAAAAGCAGTGAAATATGCATTTCAAAGCAATTATAAAAATATTAACCTCAGGAAGACTGTTAAAGGATAAAGAAGTAACAAAACAGAACTCTGTAAAACCCTGGGGGAAGCGCATCACCACTCAGCGGAAGCCTCACTGAGCACTTACTTTTATGTGCTGTGACCTCTGGGCAGCATCCATCGGGTGCAGGACCTGCAGGCCACACATGTCACAGGAGTCTCCGTGGAGATACACACAGTTTTCCCCATAGCGACACTCTCCTACTGCAGCGTAAGGGCAAAGCTGCTTCTTGGGCTCCGCAGTTGGCTCCTTGTCTGACGCTTCCTTGGTCACTGAGCCCTGCGGGGGTACTTCAGTGCAGGGAGGGGCAGCTGAAAATGTTTAAGATGGTAGTAAAGGTCCAAACACATAAGGCACGAATATGAACTATAAGGTAACAGAGAGCAATTTAAAAAAACAAAACAAAATCAAAACACTTCAATGAAACCTAAAGTCAGCCTACTAAATACATTTTCACTTTCTTTTCCCCTTAGTTTTTTGAGACAGTCCAGGCTGGCTTAGAACACGCCGTCTGCCTGCCTACCTCAGATTTTCCGGTGATGGGATTACACCCCCATTCTCCGGCTGCTTTTGGTAAGATCTGAATAACTCAGGCTGGCCTTGAACTCTGCAATCCTCCCACCTCAAGCTTTTCCAGAACTATTACTGGTGTGTGATACCAAGTCCAGTTCTGCATGTGAATTTCTTAAGTGAAATCTAACATTAGTTAGTGGAGCAGATCCACAGGAGAATCAGGAGTTCAAGGTCATCCTTCACTACTTACGGAAGCTCAACCATCAGACACCCTGTTTCAAAAAATCAAACCAGAACAGGACTGGTGGTGGGCTGAGTGTTAGCTTACTGGTAATGCATTTGCCTAGCATGTGCAAAGCCCAGAGTTTGACCCCAGCATCACCAGGAGCAGGCGGGGACAGCATTCGGAGACACTTCAGTTTTTAAACATGAATTCATTTTATTGGAGTTCAAAATATTTCTTTTACTTCATCTCTAAGTCTTAGATAACCAGGTCTAAAGTACTGACAGCAGGTTAAACTCAAACACTAGGAACAGGAAAACTGACAGAGTTCCCTGTGGCCTGTCACTTAGCCCTCTGATTGCATTTCACAGGGTCCTCACAATACTTACTACGGCCACAGTAGGGCTGCCCAGGTACAAACTCAATGGCATTCACCCAGTCCTCTGAACCCGCTCCCACAGCTGCAAAGTTTGTGGTTCTTGGCCTGGATTCTTCGCCTGGATTCATTTCCGCAAGTGATCCAACCCCCGAAGAGAGACTTGAGGAAGCAGCAAGGGATGGTTTTGCACTCGGATCTGTAGCAGTCACTTCTTCCTGTTTCAGTGGCTTGCTGTGTTCATATCTGACACACACATACAAAAGTAAGCGGTTACTGTCCAGCTACACAGAGTCCCTGCACTCTTTAATCGTCAATGTGAATACAAACATGACTTGTTTATGTGTGTCTGTGTGGTGGGTGTGGGTGTCCAGGGAGACTACAAGATGCACTTAGCTCCCTAGGTCAGAGTTAACGGCAGTTGTGAGTTGTCTGATGTGGGCGCTGGGATCCAAATGCAGATCTCCAAGAACCAGCGCGCCCTTAACTGTGAGCCATCTTTCCAGTCCTAGATAACTTCCAGAGACGGTTTGGTTAAATAACCCAGGCTAGCCTCATGATCATTATGTATCTCATGTGGTCCTGAATGCATGGATCCTCCTGCCACACTTCTCAAGCGCTAGGACTACAAGTGTATCAACATACCTGGCCCTGTAGTGCTGCAGATTGAAACATGGCCTTCTGCACCTAGGCCAGCACTGAGCAAGCTCCGGCCGGATGTCTAACTTAAGCCAGGGGTGGATGGAGCCCAGGATGGTGTGTCTAGAAAGCCTCACTGTGATGTCATACTGCCCATCAAGGCATGAGACCAGGACTTAGCAGACTTTACAAGGTTAAGTTCAACTGGAGATGGCACATACCTGCAATGTCAGCCCATGAAACTTGCTGAGACACTAAACATTTGTTTCCTGAGACAGGGTTTCTCTGTGTAGCTTTGGAGCCTGTCCTATAGGCCTCGAGCCAGACTGGTCTCAAACTCAAAATTCCACCCATCTCTACCTCACCAATTGTGGGATTAAAGGTGTATGCCACCACCTCCTGGCTCAAAACAAATTTCCTAAATGACTTATTTTTATCCTTGTGTATTGCTGTTTTGCCTGCATATGTCGTCTATGTGAAGGTGCCGGGTCTCTGGAACTGGACTCAGTTGTGAGCTGCCATGTGAGTGCTAGAACTTGGAACTCAGGGCCTCTGCAAGAACAGCCAGTGCTCTTAACCGCTGAGTCATCTCTCCAGCCCTCAAACAAAATTTAATAAGGGGTATGAGTATATTGCAATTCTGAAGCCAACTTGGACTACAAATTGAATTCCACCTCCTATGATGCCCTCACCCCAAAAAAGGAAACATGTCCAAGCAATTAACCTGTTTTCTCACTACCTGATAGTAAACATCTACCAAGTACTAAAAACTGTCATCTACTCTCAAATCAGCATGAATGAAGTTACGGTCTCTATAAAAAAGGAGACTGTTTTGAGATGGATGCCAGTTGAGTAGAGTATTAGAAGAAAGTGCGTCTGCCACCACTTTGAGGTCTCAAAAAAAAAAAAGAAAAAAGAAAAAAAGAAAATCCAAATATGTTAAAATAAAAATCATTGTTATGAGATTATATTCAAGAATAAATAGAATGAGCATGAATACATGTAAAAGACGGACGCACACCTTTAATCCCAGCACTTGGGAGGCAGAGACAGATGGATCTATCTCTGTGAGTTTGAGTTCAGCCTGGTCTACAGAGCTGAGTTCCAGGACAGGCTCCAAAATCACTGAGAAACCCTGTCTCAGAAAAAAAAAAAAAAAGAAAAAAAAAGGCAGGCTCAGTGTAGTGATGCACACCAGTAATCCCAGCATTGGAAAGCAAAGGTAGGCAGATCTGAGTTCAATCTGTCTCTAATAACAAAAGGCCAACATTATCAAATCTACCTAATGAGACAATTACAGAGCTGTAGTGATTATTTTATGATCTAACAAATAAAGCTTGCCTGAAGATCAGAGTAGTGAAGCAGCCAGCCACTACAGAGTTCTCACCTCTACCAATGCTCAGACCGTCCTGTCGTCAGACTGCACGCACTGCTCTCCACCAACCCTTAGACTCCGTCTCCTAGACCCTCCACCTTATATAGTCCCGTCAGCCCAGCCACCGCTCCTGTCTCCACCCCCTGGCGCTCCTGTCTCCGCCCCCTGGCGCTCCTGTCCACCCCCTAGCGCTCCTGTCTCCACCCCCTGGCGCTCCTGTCTCCACCCCCTGGCGCTCCTGTCCACCCCCTAGCGCTCCTGTCTCCGCCCCCTGGCGCTCCTGTCTCCGCCCCCTGGCGCTCCTGTCTCCACCCCCTAGCGCTGGGATCAAAGGCATATCTAAAGGCATGTCATCCCAAATGCTGGGATCAAAGGTGCGAGCTCTCCCATTTCTACACAGACTCTCTCTCATGTAGCCCAGGGAGGCCTTGAACTCACAGAGCTCCACCAGCCTCCACAGCACTGGGATTAAAGGTGTGTGCCACGACTCCTGGTCTCTACTGGCTAACTAGTGTGACTCACTCTACACGCTGATCCTCAGGCAAGCTTTGTTAGATCGTCAACAAAATATGACCACATAGATCTTTGTAGAATACGCTTCTGGAGTAAAAACCAGTATATAGCAGGAATGATAAATAAAAAGAGCAAGGAAAGAAAGACCAGGTACACAAATGGTACAAAGACATGCAGACAAGCACACTGTACACAGCCTCCAAAACCAGAGAAGCCCTGTCGTGAAAAACAAAAGAAAAAACAAACAACAAACAACAAAACAAAACAAAATCCAAGTAAAATTATCTTTGACTTTTTTTTGGGGGGGGAGGGTGTGTTCCAAAACAGGCTTTCTCTTTGTACTTCTAGCAGTTCTGGGGTTTGGGGTTTAGCTCAGTTGTAGAGCGCAAGGCTCTAGGTTCAGTCCTCAGCTCCGGAAAAAACAACAACAACAAAAAAAGGTAACCTAACTAGCTGTTCTGAAATTCACTCTGTAGACCAGGCTGGCCTTGAACTCACAGGGATCTGCCCATCTCTGCCTCCTGAGTGCTGGGATTAAAGATGTGAACCATCATGCCTGGCAGTTTTCACATTTTATTTTGTTTGGATTTATTTTTTTCAGCATCTCATTATAGCTCTGGAACTCACTGGGTAGACCAGGCTAGCTTCAAACTTGAAGAGATGTATTCTCCTGCCTCTGCCCGCGGCGTGCTAAGATTAAAGTGTGCACCACTGCCCAGCTCCAGACACTTAATATGATATGTGTATAAAATTAAAACTGTAGTCATGTGTGTCACTGTGTCCAGCTGGCTTTGACATTTCAAATGGCTTTAAAAGACACATCATTTTCTTTCCTCTCCTTCCTTTTTTCTTTGGTTTGTTTGTTTTTTTCTTTTTGGTTTCTCAAGACAGGGTTTCTCTGTGGCTTTGGAGTCTGTCCTGGCACTAGCTCTTAGAGACCAGGCTGGTCTCAAAGTCACAGAGATGTACCTGGCTCTGCCTCCAGAGTGCTGGGATTACAGGCGTGTGCCACCACCACCCAGCTTGTTTTGGTTTTTCAAAACAGGGTTTTTCTGTATAGCTCAATGTGTCCTGGATTTGCTTTATATGTAAGGCTTGCCTAGAATTCAAGAGATGTATTCACATGGCTCTTCCTGCGGCGTGCTAAGATTAAAGGTGTGTGCCACTACACCCAGCTGAAGACACACATATCACTTAACACAACAGTAAGCTGCATAAAATTAAGTTCTCATCTATGATTGGTACTGCATAAGAAACCTCGAGTCACCAAAAAACGGTACCCTCCCACCCTGTAGAGAAAGTATGCCAATCCAGCCTATGAAGAGTCAGAGTCTCATGTCTACTAGAATCATGGGCCACCAACAAGAGACTGTTATTACAGCTACTAAATTATAATAGGATGTCACATGATTCTTTTAGTGTATTAAGTGACAAAATACTGAGAAAACAGCAAAGTGTCAAGCTTTCTTTCAATGAGGACTGGCAAGACAGCTCAGTGGATAAAGGGGTCTGCCACCAAGCCTGATGACCTGAGTTCAATCCCTGGGACCCACGCATGTGAAGGAAGAAGTTCCTAAGCTGTCCTCTGACCTCGTACTTCACTTATCCACACCATCCACTCAGTCCGTGCCATGGCCTCCTCTCCACAGCTCTCTACTGTCCCCAGATTCCATGCCCTTCCCCAGGTCACTGTGGACCCTAACTCTCAACTGACTGGAACTAGCTTCCCACGTGAGCCTGGTCTATAACATCCAAAGAAACTGTCTTACAAAACTGCTTTCATCCCAGAGGACGATCTCCTGACAAGACCTCCTCCCTTTACACTGTAACAAAAGACAAACCATTAGGCTCAGACATCAAGGGATCTATTTCTGACCACTTAAAGTTAGTTATTGGGGGGCTTACTTTTTACCCAATCCTTACAAATAAATACAGGTAAGGATGACATCTCAGCATTTGAATCTAATAGCTAACTACGTCTATTGTGTGTATGTATCTATCTGTCTGTCTGTCTCTCTATCTGGGGCTGTGACACTGACAAGTCTTACCCAGTATAGTAGTTTCTTTCTACCTACCCACCCACCCACCCACCCACCTACCCATCCATGTGGCTGTGATACTGGCTACAAGTGTTAGACAGACATCACCACAGTATCTGTCTTTCTGTCCATCCATCCATCCACCCACCCACCCATCCATCTGTACGTGGCTGTATGCATGTATGTATGTATGTATGTACCTATCTATCTTCCTTCCTTTCCTTCCATCCATCCATCCGCACGTGGATGTATGTATGTATGTATGTATGTATCTATTATCTTCCTTTCCATCCATCCATTCATCTGTACGTGGATGTATGTATGTATGTATGTATGTATGTATGTACCTTCCTTCCCTCCCTCCCATCCATCCATCCATCCATCCATCCATCCATCCATCCATCCGTATGTGGCTGTGGCACTGGCTACCAGTCTTACCTAGTGTGGTAGTTTCAAGCATATCCAAGACTTTTCCCAAGACATAGAACCTCTTCTCTTTAACATGGCTGGACTTACTTTGTCCAGACTTTTGTGGAAGTGACAGCGTGCGTGCGTGACTCCAGAGACTAGGACATAAAAGGTACTGTAGCTTTGACTGCCAAGCTCTAAGGACACAAAGGCAGCCCTTCAGAAAGGTCCGCTAGCATGGAACCAACGTCTCTGCCAGGAGCCACATCACAAATGATTCTCCAGTAGACGACAGCCACCCTGGCCAAAGCCCTGCCAGCCCCTCAAGTCTCCATACTAGAACCACTCGACTGCAGGCCTCCAGAATGAGGATAAATGCTCGATGTCTTATTCTGCTACACTTGAGTTATTAATTTAACAGCAGGAAAAGAACAGTACACACAGACACCTTCTGACCTGGGAAGATCTGCTTTATTCAACTTCAACATAGAACCCACTAACGCAAAAAGATCAGGCGCCAGGATTATGACAGCAATACCATATCTAATGGCAGAAACTGCTTAGTAACAAATCTCTGTTGGTATGCAATTACTTGAGAGGTATTCCGGGAAGCATTTTCCCTAGAGTACTCCGCCTTGCTCTTACGTTGTTTCTTGAGCTTAGGCTGTTAAATGGTTTTAGACAAATGAGTGAGGCCCTGGGTTTCATCCCCAGAGGTTAAAAGGAATGGGTCAGGGACCACTGTAAGGGCCCAAGACCCATCTCACTCATAATTCACGCTAAGAGAGGACACCTACATAAAACTAACCCAGTCAGGGCTGGAGGGATGGCTCAGCTGTTAAAAGGTCCTGAGTTCAATTCCCAGCAATCACATGGTGGCTCACGGCCATCTGTAATGAGGTCTGGTGCCCTCTTCTGGCCTGCAAGCATACACGCAGGCAGGACACTGTGTACACAATAAATCTTAAACAAATAAACAAAAGCCCAAAACCTAACCCAGTCAGTGCAAACTCCACACCAATCTCTGCCTTGTTCTCCTCCAATTTCCTGAAACAGGGTCTCACTCACTATTCAGTCCTGGTAGCCAGGGACACACGCATGGGACAGATTTCTGGTAGTGTAATAACATTCCTGGGAAGTACTATCTCTCTTCTTCAGCAGTACCTGGAGAGTGAGCCCAGAGCTTCCTAAGCCAGGCAAGTACACCAGCACTAAACGGTAGCCTCAGTCCGCTCCTCTCGGGTGGACTCTATAGCTCAGTAACCCTCAACCCTGCTATCTTCCAACTCCAGTCTCAGGCAGGCGTTTACAGGCATGCGCCATCACAGCTGGCCCAGCGAGTACTTTTCAAAGCATAAACATGTTTAGAGCACTATGTATAATGCTACTACAATTATACATTTTATTTCTATTTCTTCTTCAACCCACTGTTGAACAAAAGCCAGTTTATAAACAAATCCTTACCTGCAGCGGTCTCCATAAACACAGTACCCTCTTTGAAAATACTTGCACACTACACCATATGGACTGTCAGAGAGGTCGTGCGAGTATCGACAGTTATCTCCTTCCTTACAAACCCCATGCATAAAATATCTGTAAGACAAAGAACCAAAAAACTAGATTAGAAAACTAAAGCCAACCGTAAAAGAATTCAGTACCAACACATTCTGCTGGCATATTCACAACTATCAAGCAAACACATCAAGTCAGTCTAGGCCAGGTGGCCAGCATCGGGACCAAGAATCCTGCCCGAAAGCCACATGCTTATGCAGGGCCCCCCCAGGGGGTGGGGGTTGAACTAGGGCCTCATACACACAAACACTTTATCTCATGAACTGATGTGTCTCCCCAGCTCCCCCAACGTAAAGATTTTAAACATTTATCTTGTTCGCTGAAGGTCAACTTTGACCCTCTGTCCTCATTTTACAGTCCTAGAGGGGTAGCTTTGTATTTTCCACTAACTTCAGCTTGTAGCCATGATTATCTGCAAAGCACATCAAAGATAAAGAAACCACATAGACTAGAAAGTGTCAGGCTACTGTTTGTATTTGACTTTGTCAAGGAAACATTTTAATTCTTTAAAAACCATGTATGAAAACAAGCTAAACTAGGCCAGCCACTTTAAGGGACTACAGGTAGGCATGGTTAGCAGTTTCTAGACACCAACAAACAAAAGCACCATCTCCTGAGCATTTGCTAGACTTGTGAACTAAGATCTTACCAACCTCCCTAGCACCTGGGTGCAACTCTAAATTGCACTGTAGATGAAGAAATGGGAAGGGCTATTTGTAGACACTCCCTTCATCTGAATATTACCTCTGCCAGAATCCATTTTCCTATTCCTTCATCTCTGAGCAGGGCAATGAAACCTGCTTCTGGGTGTAAATGTGGTTGACCTAAGAGGTCTCCTCTGGTCTACCCTTGAGCCACAGCCATGTGGGGAGCATTGGGAGAACAGCAATATAGACAGCTCAACACATTGCAAGTTCCACTGAACTGTCTGCTGTATGGATTACAGACGGGGTGTAGCCCAGGAGAGTGTGAGTGAACTCAGCATATAAGGCTTGTGATCCCACAACAAAACAAAGAAAAGGCTGCCTAGGATTCAAGCGTGTCCAAGTCTCTGCACATCACCTACAGATGCAGAGGACAACAGAGGAAAAGCATCCCACACCTTCTTGGAAACTATTCCAATTACCAAGAACCTCCACCCTGGGATTGCAAGCTCTATCAAAGCATAAGAACTCAGTAAGGCCAGGCAGTGGTGGCTCACATCTTTAATCCAAGCACTTGGGAGGCAAAAGCAGATGGATCTATGAGTTCAAAGCCAGCCTGGTCTACAGAGAGTTTCAGGGCAGCCAGGGACAGAGAAATTCTCTTGAAAAACAAACAAACAAAAAAGAACTCAGCAAGAAGTAAAATTATGCACAGTACTGGCCTCATTTCAACTGTATTGGGTCTAACCTGATCTAACTAAGGTGCAACCTTAGGCAACTACAGTGCTATTTTCTGCAAGCTCTGAAGGGCCTGAACTCTATAGGACCTTTTTTTTTTTTAAATTTATTATGTATATAACATTCTGCCTCTATGCATATCTGCATGCCAGAAAAGGGCAGCAGACCTGATTTTGTGTGTGTGTGTATATATAGTTGTGAGCCACCATGTGGTTGCTGAGAATTGAACTCAGAACCTCTGGAAGAGCAGCCAGTGCTCTGAATCTCTGAGCCATCTCTCCAGCCTAGAACCTCTTTTTAAAAACCTATTAATTAAAATCATCTATAATGATGTTAAAGACAAAGCTGGATGTGGTGGCTCTTACTGTAATCCCATGAGGCTAAAGCAAGAAGATGGCTGAGTCACAGCTCACCTGAGTAGAATGCTTGCCTAGCACACAAGCAGCTCTGGACCCAATCCCCAGGATCCATCAAACAGGCATGACGGTGCCTGTGGTTCCACTTCTCAGGTGATAGAGGCAGAAAGATCATAAAGAAAAAGGCGCACGCCTTCAACCCCTCCATCCAGGAGGCAGAGGCAGGTGGATCGCTCTGAGTTCAAGGCCAGCCTGGACTACAGAGTGAATTCCAGAACAGCCAAGGCTGTCTCAAAAATTAAAACAAACAAACAAACAAAAAAAAAATCAGCTCCCAGGATCTGGAGTTCAAGGCCAGCCTCAAACAAACATCTTCTTAATCTACAGAGAGTCCCAGAACAGCCAGCATCACACAGAGGAAACCTTGGCTCAAAAAAAAAAAAAAAAAAGGAAAAAGAAAAAACGAAAGAACAAAGTAGCACCTTAACCCAGTATTTGGGAGAGCAGTAAGACAGGGGGATCTGAGGCTAGCTACATTTAAAGTCTTTGCCTCAAAAATAAATAAACAAGCATTTGATGGACAAGAAAGCACTTAGAATTTTTGTGTTATTTCAACTGCCAGAAGACTTATCTATTGTTTTATAAGCATCTAGGTTAAAAATTAGTTTGGGAGCTGGGGAAGAGCGATGGCCCCACTTCCCAGGGGCCTCAGGTTTGATTTCAAGCACCTACATGGTGGCTCACAACTGTTCTGACCTCTTCCAGTTTCTGGGGTGACTGGGCACACGGGTGACACAGACATACATTCAGGCTAAACACATGAAGTAATAAAAATAACTTACAGCTTAGAGGCTAAAGAGATGGCTCCATGGTTAAGAACTGTACAGCTCCTGCAAAGGACTTGGTTTTGATTTACAGCTCCCACACCCAGGTGGTATACAGCTAGCTGCCTACAAACTCCAGCTCCAAGGGGACTAATGCCTAAGGACTCCGTGGGTCACCACAATCACAGGGACAAAGGACAAGGACGTACACAAAACAGGCCAGCCAAAGCTACATAGTGGGACTGTTTCAAAAAGTCAATAAATACACATCAGCTGTCTTCATCCCACACCCAAGGCAGCTAGCAGCAAGGGCCAATTTATTTAGCAGCATCTCTCCAATGAGAGAACAAAGCCAGCCTGTTGGTGGCAGCATAACTCAGTTTCTCAGCAAAGGTATTTGTTTCTTAGGCAGCACAAACAAAACACAAGGAGAATTTCAGGAGCTAATGAGAGAGTGAGATTGAGCAATTAAAAGTGAACCCGGCCTTTAATCCCAACACTGACTGGGAGTCAGAGGCAGGCAGATGGTGAATCAGAGGCAAACCTGGACTAAATAGGGGGAGAGTTCCAGGCCAGCCAGAGCTCACAGTAAGATCCCTGTCTCAGAACAAAGAGACTACCCCTGGGCTGGAGAGTTGGCTCAGGGGTTGAGGGGACTTGCCCCTTTTGCAGAGGGCCCAGATTCGACTGCCAGCACCCACGATGGTTTACAACCAGTTCCAATGGACCCAGTGGTCTGGTGTCAGTGGCTGCTGCCAGGCATGCACACTGTACAGATACACATTTCAGGGACACACTCACACATTAAAAGTAAATTATCCTTTTAAAAATTAAAACGGGCTGGAGAGATGGTTCATGGGTTAAAAGTACTAGCTGTTCTTCCAGAGGCTCCAAGTTCAATTTTTAGCACTTACATGGCGGATCACAACCACTCTAGAATACAGCCCAATGGGATCCGAGGCCCCCTATCAGCATGCAGATGTATGTGCAGACAAAACATCCCCATATGTAAAGAACATAAATAACCCTCTCCCTTTTGTTTTTGTTTTGAGACAGGATTTCTCTGTGTAGCTTTTGGAGCCTGTCCTGGAACTCTTATCTGTAGACCAGAACCAGACTGGCCTCGAACTCAGAGATCTGTCTGCCATATAAATCTTTAAAAACAACAACAACAACAAAACCAGAAATAACATCCTTATCTAAGCAAGTAACTTTAATGAGGAATATGCCTAGGCATAGAAAATAATGTTCCTCAGAGTGCTTGTAGGTAGACATTTCCACATTTTTAAGATTTTATGGGCTGGAGAAATGGCTCAGAGGGTAAGAGCACTGGCTGTTCTTCCAGAGGTCCTGAGTTCAATTCCCAGCAACCACATGGTGGCTCACAGCCATCTGTAATGAGATCTTCTGTAATGTAAGGATACATGCAGGCAGAACACTATGTACATAATAAATAATCTTAAAATTATTTGTATTTATGTGTGTGGGTGTTTTGCCTGCATGTGTATCTGTATCTGCATCGTATGCCAGCCTTACCCACCGGGACCAGAAGAGGGCGAGAGATCCTCTGGAACTGGAGTTACAGGCAGTTGCTAACCACCCTGTGGGTGCTGAAAAGCAGACCTGGACGCTGTGAGAGCAAGGATGTAGGATGTGCTCTTAACCACTGAGCCGTCTCCAGCCTCCGCTCGCTCGCTCGCGCTCTCGCGCGCTCTCTCTCTCTCTCTCTCTCTCTCATCAAGGTAAACCACTTTAATCATACAAAGGAGCTTTCGTGTCACTGTACAATTGGGAGCATTTACTAGTTATGCAGGGCACTGAGGAAACACCCTGCAGGTGTGATAAAACCCAACTCTGCTTCTCTCAAAGCTCAAAGTTTAGAACAAAGATTGTTGTTCCTCCTCTGTTCAAGCAGAAAGACATCATGTTGGCAACAAGAACAGAAAACAATGTCAAGCATTTAAGCCTAAAGCATATCCAATAACCTGATTTCAACTAGGCTGGTCTGGACAAGACATAGTAATCCTGCATCAGCCTACTGACTAGCCCTGAGAACTGATGTGCGCAACCACCAAGGGTTCTATATCCACCATAAAAGACCACAAATGTGTAGATAACTAGTCTAAGTAAAAACTATGGAGAAGACATTTGACACTAGTCCTCAGAAAACAGAAGCAAGAGGATCTATATGATTTCAAAGCCAGCCTATGCCATGCGGTAAGACCTTGAATTCTTAATGTTTTACCTGCACTTCTGAAACAGTTACAGGTGTGGGCCAGCATGTGAAACTGTAAGCTTGCTTCTTGTTTTTGTTTTTATTGTATGTACATACATGTTGGCACATGTGCCACAATGCATGCATGTGTAGAGGTTGTAACATGTTTTCTTCCATCTTACGGCTTCTTGGGAATCACAATAAACACTCTTGCTACCTAACCTAAGCCGTCTTTCCTGATCCTAAACCTGTATCCTTTAAGCTTTTCATATCCTTTCCTCAAAAAGTAAACCTCAGCTGGGTGGTGATGGTGGTGGTGCAGGCAGGCAGATCTGTGAGTCTAAGGCCAGGCTGATGTACAGAGTGAGTTCCAGGACAGCCAGGATACAGAGAAACTATCATGAAGTAAAATTCATCCATATAATTTTTTGAGACTCAACATGCCTGTGTTATTTAGGGCTGGAACATCAATTGCTACATTTCCTAAGCTAGTCTAGAATTCAAGATTCTTCTGTCTTAGCCTCCCCAAGCCAGGACACTCAAAGAAAAAAATGTTTGTTTGTGTGCAATATGACAAGGGAGGGGCCAGATGTTTTCCTCCTGATTCTTTTAGAGGGGTCTTTCACTGCACCTGAAGCTCACATTAGGGGCTTTGATGGGGGGGGGGGGAGATCAGAGTTCAGAGCCTCATACTTCAGCAGAAGGTCTTTACTTTCTGAGCCTCCAAAGATGTCTTTAAACATAAATGGAGTGTTCACAAGCAACTGCTCCAAGAATGCCCAGAAAACTCCATTAATTCAATGAGCCTCAGGGAGCTGGATTTGGCCCGTGCTTGTAATCCAGCACTTGAAATCAAGGTCATTGCCTGGTACAGGTGCCACATGCCTTTAATCCTAGCACTGCAGAGGCAAAGACGGCGGATCTCAGTTTGAGACCAGCCTGTTTCCAGGACAGCCAGGGATAGACAGAGAAGCCCTATCTCAAAACAGAAATTGCCAGGCAGTGGTGATGCACACCTTCAATCCCAGCACTGGGGTGGCAGAAGCAGGCAGATCTCTTGAGTTCAAGGCCAACCTGACCTACAGAGTGAGTTCCAAAACAGCCAGGACTATTTCACAGAAAATAACTGTCTCCAAAAACAAACACCCCCCCCCCAATCAAAGTCATCCTATGCTAAGGAAGACCCACCTTCTGTAAAAAGACCCTAAAAGGTGCAAGCCTTTACTCTCAGCACCAGGGAGACAGAGGCAGCCTAAGTTCCAGGGCAGTCAGGGTTACAGAGAAACCCTGTCTAGAAAAACAAAAATAAAAAAATAAAATTTAAAAACTCTACAAATTGTAGGAAGACCCTAAATGTAGGTAAGAGACAGACTGCTGAGAACTAGAAAAGGGAGGGAAAGTACAAGGGCATCAGGCTGGGAAAGACAAACGGTAGGATTAAGGAGTCCCAAGCCTTTCCGGGACACATTAGCTTCTGCATCACACACCCCACACACTCCTGAAAAGAATCAAAGTGAGGTGGTGGCAAGACTTCCTTGCTGATAAAAGTGCCCGATGAGTTAGATTGCTGGAATCCACAGGATGTCCCCTCTGACCTCCACAGATGCTCTGTGGCCCCAGGGGAAGCCACCCACAAACATCATACACATGCTAATTATTTTTAAAGGAAAATGCTGAAACAGAACTTTGCATAGAAATGTAAAGCTGGGCCTATTTGCAGTCGTTTGACAGGATGATAAAGAAATCAGTAATGAAATGTTATTTGGCAATGGGTATTCAAAACTAGATTAGGTGATGATCAAGGTATTTAAATTTCATTATCAACCCAGGTGGTAAAGACTTGCTACACCAGTACTGGGAGACCAGAGGGTGGAAAAATGGAAGTTCAAGACCAGCCTGATCTACACTGCAGTTCTATTTACAAACGGGGCTGCAACGCTGGAACTCGTCTCAAAATATAAAGACCGAGGGGGGTAAGCTTTAACCTGGCGATATGAAATGTGTCACAGGAGAGACTGAACGGATGGCACTTGCGAATAAACTGTCCTTGTCGGGTGAAAATTGGTTTTTCCTTTGGATTTTTTTAACCGGTAGAAAAGCTTACCGGCTCTCCTGATGGCTAAATCAAAATAAAATATAGGCGGGTGTGGTATCATCACACACCTGCAATCCCCGCCCGAGGGAGAGGACGAGGCAAAAGGATTGCCGAAAATTCTAGGGCAGAGGTATATATAATAATAATTACAATTATATATATATGTGTGTGTGATATATATATATATATATATATATATATATATATATATATGGGCTACACAGCAAGGCTGTCTCAATAAAACACCCTCTCCTCAATCGCTAACACAACGAATACCCTCCAATATTTATAGCTGGGGAAAAACATTTTTTTTTAATTGCGTACTGTATAACCGCCACCTGATCGATCATTCCCCCCCCCAATAATTCCGTCTCGCTTACCAAACCAGAACCAAACCTCTCTGTCATGGGGGAGTGGGGGGTGTCCTTCCTCGCCTAGAGGACGGCGCTCGCTCAAAGGGACGGGAATAATAGCGGCGGCGGCGGCGGTTCACCAAGTCCGGGGTGGACGGATAAGGGGGGGGGGGAGGCTAACGCCGGCTCCGAACGCTCGGTTCCGAGACAAAGCTCGGAACCGCCGACCCCGTACAAAGGAACACAAAAGCGGCTGCTGCCGGCGGGGCGGGGCGGGCGGGGCGGGCGGCGCCGGCGGCACGGAGGGAAAGACGTTACAAACGGATGGCCGAGCTCGCCGGGGCGCCTCAGCGTGCACGGAGCGCACTCCTGGCCGCGGCGAGCTCGCGCCGCAGCCCCGAACCTGTGGCGGCCGAGGCGATGGGCAGACGCCGGGGCGGGACGGGGACGGGGACGGGGACTGACGCGGGGGGCGCCCCTCGCCCCCGCCTCGTCCTACCTGCAGGTGACCTGTTTCGTCCAGCCGCCCCCGCCGCCGCCGCCCGCCCCCGGACACGGGGCAGCGACTGCGGGGACGGGCGTGAGGGAGGCCGCCGCCGCCGCCGCCGCCGCTGCTCCTGATGTTGTGGCTGTTGTTCCGGGAGCCGCAGCCTCCGCCATCACTGTTTATCCCACACAGCAGTGGCCCCGGAACTTCCGGGATCACATAGTTCCGGTCCGCCTGGGACGGAGGACGCGGCGAGGGGAGGGACGGGCCGGGCGGGGACGGGCGGGCGGGCGGGCGGGCGGGGAGGGCGGGCGGGCGGGGAGGAGGGAGGGAGGCCGCGCAGCCCGAGCGCCCCGAGCGCCCCGCGCAGCCCCGCGCCGGCCCCGCGTCCCCACTGCGCTCCGGCCCCGGCCACTGCGGGCCCCGCCCCCGCCGGGCCCCGCCCCCGCCGGGCCCCGCCCCCGCCGGGCCCCGCCCCCGCCGGCGCTGATTGGTCACAGCTCGGGTCCGCCCTTGAGGGGGCGTGGCCGCCGGCCCGGGCCAGGTGTGCAGGGATGCTGCCGCAGATGCTCGCCATCCAAGGAAGGACCACGGGCAGGAGGAGCCCAGAGCAGAGAGGATGGCGAAGCGAGGGAGCTGCGCGGACGGCCTGGGTGTGTGCGCGCGTGTGTGCGTTCGTGTGAGTCTGTGTGTGCGCGTGTGCCTGTGTGCGTTGTGCGTTCGTGTGAGTGTGCGCGCGTGTATGTGTGCGCGCGTGAGTGTGTGTGTGCATGTGTGAGTGTCCGTGTGTGTATGGGCGTGCGTGTGTGCCTTGTGTGTGCGTGCGTTGTGGGTGTGTGTGTGCATGTGTGTGCGCGAGTATGTTGCCTGCGTGTGTGCATATGCGTGTGGGTGTGTGCATGGGTGCGTGTGTGCGTGCGTGCTCTTTCCCCAGTGGGAACTGGATTCCTATTGTGTTGCAATCCGGTTCCTTCTCTGCCCGGAGGACGGTAGTCCCTGTCTCCCAGAGACTGTCAGAATCTGTTATTGGAAGTGCCAGGCAGCCAGGCTTGGTGGCAGACATCTGTAATCCCTGCACTCTGAAGACTTAGGCATCAAAACCCCCTGCAAATTCGAAGCTAACCCGGGCTCCATAGACCCATCAAAATAATGATGTTCATAACGTAATTAAGTAAAGTGTGAAATGGTTATGTACCCCCTGTTTATAACACCACAGTCTGGGAAGCTAAGCGAAAAGGATCACAGGTCTGAGGCTAACCTGAGATACTCTGCAAGAATCTGTCGATAAACATACAGCCTTCAGGCCATGTTCCCAAGGACTGGTTCCCCCACCAAGCCCAACCTCCCAAACCTTCCACCACTCTCCAAAAGCCCATCGAGTAAAGAATTCACCAATGGATTAACCCACAACCATTTCTCTACAACTGTCATGACAGCTCTGACCAAGGAGACCAAGAGTACATACATCACACAAACTCTTTTTTGAGGAGCATTTTAGATCCAAAGGAATTCTCTCCCTCTCCCTCTCTCTCTCCCTTCTCTCCCATCTTTCTCCTCTCTATTACCCTCTCCCCCTCTTTCCTCTCTCTCTCTCCTCCCCTCTTTCCCCTCTCCTCTCTCTCTCCTCTCTCTCCCTCTCTCTCCTCTCTCTTCTCTCCATTCTCTCCTCTCTCTCCCTTCCCTCTCCTCTCCAGTCCTCTCTTACTCTCTCTCCCCTTAATATGTAGACCAGGCTGGACTTGAATGAATAGAGATCCACCTCCCAAATACTGATATTAAAAGCCTTCAACACTGCCCAGTTGTTGAGGAGGTAGCAGAAAAGTTGGCAACAACTTCAATAGAAAAGTTCTTGCCATTCTAGGCACTAGCAAATGGACACGGACAGGGCATAGCTCTCTGGGGTATTGGCCCCAAAACTGCGTGCTGGAATTTCCCACACCTGAGCCCATTACCAAGCATTGTAAAAAGCTGTTTCATGATGCTCTGAATAGGCAGTGTTCCCAGGCCCACTTCCTGTGGTGGTCTTGTCCACTCTCTGGTCCACTGCTACCCACAAACACCTGGGCAGCACGGAGGAGGAGTCAGGTAGCTTTCTACCACACAGGCCTCTCTTTTTTCAGCAGCCACAGAAGGCAAGAAAGGCTGCTCCACAGGAGAACAACACTGGGGTTCATGGGATATTTGCAAAACTAGACCAGCATAAAAACCCTCAAGGCAGAGCTCGGCTCCTACCTCTCTCCCATACCTCCCTGAGGACACTTCCCAGGATAGAGGCCTCCCAGGGAACCTGGTGTCAGCAGTCAGGAGACCAAGAAGCTGTGAGAAGGAAGATGTATGTGTTCAAAAGCATCAAAGCTTGGCAAGGACAATAGCAACCTTCCAAACATGGGAGAGGCTTTTCCTCTCCCTGCACTACAAATGACCAGGGCGTGGAAAGCCCACACTCACTTTTGAATACAGGGACCGCCTTTATTTTATCTTATTTTTTAAATCAATTTAAATTTTATTAGAAATAGGGGGAAAAACAAAAAATGGTATCTCAAAGTCAATTATTGTTAAATTCCTAGTAAAATATTACAGTTGAACAGAAAATCACTATACTTTTGGTCTAAGATATGTTGTATTTTTTCTTTCTTCAGAAGACAGATGGATGTAGCGGAACACAGTGTACTTGTCCCAAATGTACAATATAAATACAGAAGTGATGAACTCCAGCCAACTTTGGGCCCTAGAGAATAGTTCGTGTAGAATCATCACATCCTCCAGTCCCAACAGACATTTTTTTTTCTCTGCCTAACTGTAGATCTCCCCTACCCAAGCCCATACTGCTTTGCTGGGAAGGGGCCCTGAGGAACCCACATTAATGCCAGTGTGGGTAGAATGCTACACTCTGACACTTGAGAGTAGTGGGCGGCAAAGGAGCAGGAGAGGACTGACAGGAAGTTACCTCCTTAATTTTTTTAAATTCTGTATGTGTTCTTTAAAAAGAAAAAGACTATTTAAGGTGTATACCATAATTCAAATATATAATAAAGGGATTATTATTAACAATAAATCAATTATCTGAAAAGCGTTTTTTTGGTGTATGATAAGCTAAACTCTTTTAGAAAATCTTTTAGAAAATTTCTAATAAATACTATGTTATTTATTATATACATTTAGTAGGTTAGATCTCTAAACTTATTTGTGCTATTTAACTATAGTAACTTTGTACCCTTTGCTGGGATTCTTTCCTGTTCTTCGAGGCAACACTGTTACTAAGTGTTTCAATCCTACAAGCTTTGCCTTCCCTAGAATTCTGAAGGCTAGGTGGGATCATGCAGCGCATCTGGAGCCATTTTATGACCATGGTTCTGACTCTTGCTCAATGTCTGCTTAAACTGCCACAGTCTGTTTAGAAGAAGGTAATGTGTGCCAGAAGTATTTCTGTCAGTATTTAAAAAACATAGGCTCCTCAGTCTCTTAAGGGCTGGGGTGATAGACATATGCCACAACACCCCCCCCTTTTATTTTTTTTAATAAACTGTTTTTCCTGATTGGCTGTTTAAAGCTTTGGTAGTTAGTGATGGTAGTTTTTGCATTTGTTGAAGTCAGAAGAAGGGCATCAGATCCTGGGAATGGAGTTACAGATGGCTGGAAGCCACCGTGTGGGTTCTAGGAACAGAACCCGGTCCTCTCCAAGAGGAGCAAGTGCTCTCAACCCTTGAGCCATCTCTCCACTACCCCCAATCTATTTCTATTTAGTGTTGCAGCTCTACTAACTGCACATTGTATATGTGTAGAGAGACAGAATGTATGGATGACACTATACAAGGCACACACTGAATGCAGACTAAGATAGTGGCCAGCTCTTCATTTCCCTTCACTCAAGTGTCTAGTGAGCAAATGAACAGACATGGAGTGCAGAGATGGCAAAACCATCTTCCTGTATTGATTTGTTCTGAGAAATAAACCAGCCTGCCAACTGAGAAGCTGAGAGCTGGATAGGGGAACTGTCTCTGCCAGCAAAGCAGCCTGAGAGACAGCTGCTGGGTGCTGCTTGGAGTTCACAGAGCAGCAGCAGCCTGGACTGGTTGGGGGTGAGGGTGCCAGCACAGCACAGGCACAATTACAAACTGACTTTTCAATAAGCTGGAGGTGGTGGCGTGGGCCCTTGCCACCGGCAGCAGGTGTACAGACAATGTAGGGTCAGGAGAGTGTGGGAGGGAACTAGAGACAGCTCTGTTCCTCAAAACAGAAAGTCCTCTGCTAGGAGTAGCAGGCTGCATGCAGCCAGCAGCCCAGTGGACTTGGTCAGGCAGAGCCTGAGCACAACAGCCCAGTTCTGTCCGCCCTGCCTCTTAACTGGGATGTTTCCAGGTGCAACGCAAGGTTTCCACACTCAAACCCTTCTGAAAATAAATCAACCCTTAGTGAAATCACCACGTTCTGACCATCCATTTATCAGTTTGGCACCTGCTTCAATTGGTATCAAAGGTTCGGTATCTTTAAAGGCCACATGTGGGTCACATGACCTCCACATTCCCATGCTCTAATCTTTGTTGCGCTTTTCTGTTTTCTTCCTGCCTTTTTAGATTTATTTAATTTTACGTGTGTGGGCATTTTGCCTGCGTGTATATCTGTGCAGCATATGCATGTCTGGTATCCATGGAGGTCACAGGAAGTTACAGATGGTATAAGTCACCACATGGGTGCTGGGAACCAAGCCTAGATCCTCTATAAGAGCAAGTACTCTTAACCCCTGAGTCATCTCTCCAGCCCCTCCCTTGGTTTCTGCTTTTCTCTCTCCAGTGTTCATAAACACAGGCCTTCAGACGCTGAGTAATGTTGACTACTGAATCCCCAACTCCATCATTATTATTCTACGCACTTCTCAGCCTGCAACACAAACAGGCATCGTTTGTCACACAGTTATTCTGGGTCATGAAGTCCTACGCTGTGTTAGTGCAGCCTTAGACACTTTCAATATAAAATTGGTCAGTTCAGGGATTCAAGAGATGACTCAGGGCTGGGGAGATGGCTCAGAGGTTAAGAGCACTGGCTGCTCTTCCAGAGGTCCTGAGTTCAATTCCCAGTAACCACATAGTGGCTCACAGCCATCTGTAATGAGATCTGGTGTCCTCCTCTGGCCTGCAGGCATATATGCTGGCAGAATAGTGTACACATAATAAATAAATAAATAAATCTTAAAAAGTAAAAAAAATAAATAAATTAAAGAAAGAGAGATGACTCAGTGGTTAAGAGAACTTGTAGCTCTTCCTGAGAAGAGGAGCTCAGTTCCCAGCACCTACCCACATCTGGCTGCTCACAATCACCAACAATGTCCAGCTCCAGGGGATCTGATGCCCCTTCCTGGCTACCACAGGTACACCCCCACCCCCACACACCCCCACACACACATTAAAAAATAAATCTTAGCTAGGCGGTGGTGGTGCAAGCCTTTAATCCCAGCACTCGGGAGGCAGAGGCAGGAGAGATATTCGTTTCAATGAAGTAATAAAGCACATGAGATAACCAAACTTTTTATTGTTGTTTTGAGACATGGTCTCACTTCCTAATCCAGGCAGGCCTAAAGTCAAGTCTGCCTCGGCCTCCCAAATGCTGGGATTATTGGTATAAACCACCATGCCGTTTCAATATTTTGCCCTTTGGCAGGACCTCACTCAAGCTAGGCCAGGACACTACCAGTCATCCCCTTTTTCTGGGGGTGAGATGGGGGTTAGGGCTTCTCTGTGTAACCTAGGCTGTCTGGGAACTTGCTCTGTAGACAAGGCTGGTCTTGAACTCACAGAGGTCGCCTGCCTCTGCCTCCCACCACCCAGGAGAGCATTCTTTTTTTCCACATAAATGCAGCTCCTCAGGCTGAGGGTGTTCACTCATGCTTTCTCAACCGGCTTGCTTGAGGCCTTGGTTTTGATAGTTGGCACTGAAGAGAGAGGCAGGGCAGGAGGTAGGTAAGGTTAGACGGCACAATATAAATTTTGCATATTTTATCACAACGTGTTTATTGCAGCCCTGATAAGCCTCGATCTCATGGTCCCCCAACCTTAGCTTCTTTAATGCTGGGGTAACAGGAGGGCTCTACCTCATGCGGCTCATTTTACAATTGTTTGTTCAGCACTGGGACTTGAGTCCAGGATCTCACATGTACCAGGCAAGTCCTTTGCCACTGATGCACATCTCCAATCTTTCATTGCCAATTACGATTTGCTCTTTTGCTGACCTAACCAAGTGGGAGCTCAGGGAGCCTAGTCTGACATTGGGGAACCAGGATAAGACTGAACCAGACATCCTGAATATGGGTGTCAGCTGGGTGGGGGAGGGCTTGGGCAGTCTATAGGGCCTCTGGGAACCAGTATTTATCCCTAGTGCATGAATGGACTTTGGGATCCCATTCCCTGTGGAGGGACACCCTCTCAGCCTAGACACAGAGGGGGAGAGACTAGGCCCTGCCCGGAATGATGTGACAGACTTTGATGATCCCTCACGGAAGGCCTCACCCTCCCTGAGGAGTGGATGGGGGGGGGGGATGGGAAGATGAGAGGGAGAGGGACCTGGGATTGGTGTGTAAAATAAGATTGCTTGTCATTTAAATAAAAATTAATTTGAAAAAGATTGGCTGTTGTTTCTCTTTTTGCTTTTTTGAGACAAAGTTGGAAATATGTAGATCTGGCTGGCTGTGGGCTCGCTGTGTAGACCCGGTTGATCTCAACCCTTCATTATCAGCCTGCTTCTGCCTGCAGTGTTTGAAGGGTTAAAGGTGAGTGCCAGCCACACCCTGAAAGCCATATGTTTGTCTTCTAGGCATTATCCTGTGGCAGTGACATACGTGTGTGTGCATGTGTGTGTGGTGTGCGTGCATGTGTGTGTGGTGTGTGTGTTCTTTGTTCTTTCCAGACAGGCTCTCTCTCCTCTCTCATGTAGCCCAGGCTGACCTTAAACTTGGTGTGTAGCTGAACTGGCCTTGAACTCCTGATCTCTTTGCCTTCACCTATGGTGAGATTACATACTGGGACAGATGTTGAACTGAATGGATGACTAATAGCTTGAGAACCATGGCCTGGCTGTCGTGGGTGTGGGGCTGAGGTGGTGAGTAGAAAGTCCAAGTAGAATCTCAAATCTGCATGTTAGGCAGATTGCTGTCCCATCCCCCATAGCCCATGCTTGACTGACGAGCTGTCTCTGAAGTAGTTTTAAGTAGGACAGAAGGTGAGCTCAGGTGGAGGCAGTACCATCAGGAGATCAAGGCTACCCTTGGCTGCACAGCAAGTTCAAGGCTAGCCTGTGCCACCAGACACACTATCTCAGAAAACAAAACACCCACAGCATTAAATAAGTAAATAGCATTCGCAAGTGACAAAACACTTTTTTGGCATAAAGCCAGTGGGAGACGTAGCTCCGTGGGGAACCAGGGCGGCCTTTCCGGAAGGATGACACCACAGGTGCAGTACTGCTAGGGAGT